TACCATCTTTTCGGCAGCCCTTCCCAGTTCCTCGCCAGTTTCCACTCCCGGCCAAGTCTCGCTTTCTTTTTCCTCTCTCTCCACACACCAACCCGGGAAGAGGAATCCTAGCTTCCCGGGTTCCTCCCCAACAACGCCTCTTAAGGCATGGGGGGGACCGGAGGGGGGTCCCGACGGGGGAGGTCGGGAAAGGAGGTGTAGAGAAGGAGCAACCTCGCTCTGAGCATGCGCAAGCGATGCTTCGCGCATGCTCGGGCGCCCGGACAGGTTTGCTGATGGCGAGGAGTAGGTTCTCCCGCTCCCGCTGCCGCAGCTGGAGCAGCCCCTGAACATCTCTGTTCACGTTCCCGAGGTATTAATAAAGTTATCGTTAAACGTTTTTTTTTTTTTAAAGTAAGCCAGCCGGTCTAGGCGGGTGCGCGAGGAGGCGGCGGCGGTGGTTGCGCCGCGACCGCGACTGAAAGGAGCTGGTCTCGCTGGGGCGGGTGAGTCCGCAGCCGCTGGGTGAGGGAGCGGGGGGGGGGGGGGGGGGGCCCTTTTCTCCCCGGGGGGTTGCTTCCTCCGCTTGGGCCTCCTCCCCTGACGGGGTTTCCCGCATTCCCCGGGCTTGGCGGCTCTCGCGGGGCTCCGGGGAAGGGACCGACCTTCGAGGGGAGGGAAGCCGAGGCGGCGGCAGGGTCGCGACAGCGGCCCAGCCCCCGTCCCCCAGGCCCCCCAGGGTGCCCGGGCTGGAAGTCCGGCCCTCGGAGCTGCGGGCGCCGCAGTCCCACCCCCGACCCCCGCGCCCTGCGCTGCCTAGCAGCCGGGCTGCTGGCGTCTCGGTCCCTGTCTGGGCCCCTTTGCGGAGGCTCCCGCATCCACTCAGCGTGCCCTCTGGGCGGGGGCTGCCCTCCGCGGATTTAGGTCCTACCCCCCCCCCCCACCCAGCCCTGGCGTGTCACCCGGAAAGGAGCGGGCACTTCTGGCGTCTTTAATGGGGAAAAGGCTCCCCCGCCCCGGCTCCTGCCTCTCTCTCGCTCGCCCACCCTCCGAGGGCTCTGTAGCCTGGAGAATATGAGTGAGGACCCGAGGCAGGCCCTCCCTCGGACCCGGGGTGTGAAAAATCCTGCCCCGGGGCGGTGCAGGGGGCCGCGGGCTGGCGGGTGACTGCGGTGCCCTCCCTTTGTTTCCCCGTGACTGCGGAATTGAGGGGGACAACGATTAAATGTAAATGCTTAGCAAAGTTTCATCAGTGTGCCAATCTATGTACCACCTAAGGACTGTGGCTTCTCTGTTTAATAGAGCTCCCAGCCACGTTCTGGTCAGTCGGTAAATGTGGCTGTGGAGGATGGTTTTAAGATCAGTCTGTACCTCAAAACAGGCCTGTGGTTTTATGGATGCCGACGACTTTTATGCCTTAGAAGTATTTTGACTATAAATTTGTCTGCATTCATAAGGACCATTCCTGATTTGGGGCAGCCTAGCCTAATGCTAAGTGTAGTGCTAGAAATCAGGCAATCTGTGGCACCTCAGGTAGATGATCTGCCTTCCTTTACTAATTTACTGATCTGTAAAATGGGAATATTCTGAACTGTCTTACCATTTGTAAAGTTTAGTAAACTAGATTATGTAAATAGTTGTCACTGTCATCCTAGGAACTTTAATTATTGCATATTTAGTTGTTTTGACATACCATTTTATATACAGTATTCAACACTGAAGACAACATTTATTGTTACTCCACACAGTTACAAGAAAGTAATTTTCCTAAAGCACAGGTCTGACCGTGATAGTCCTTTATTCAAACTTAAGGGACTATTGCTTCCAGTATCAAATATACCCTCCTCTGCTATTTAAAACCTTTGTCAACATGGGTCCAACCTGTCTTTCTATCTATATTATATAATAATCTCCATGGTCCAGCCTAACTGACCTTTCTTTTCTGGTACTTTCAAGTGCTCTTCTCACCTCTCCCTCTTAGGATCTTATTCCCTTCAGAGCTCAGCTTAAACACCACCTTCTACTTGAGTCTTTTCCTCATTTCACACACACACACACCCCTGCTATTACCTTGTATTTATTTATTTATTTTATACAGTTGGGGTTAAGTGACCTGCCCAGGGTCACACAGCCAGTAAGTGTCAGGTGTTTGGTCTGAGGCTGGATTTGAACCCGGGTCCTGCTTACTTCAGAGCCCAGTGCTCTATCTACTGAGCCACTTAGCTGCCCCCACCTTGTATTTATTTTGTATGTTCTTATACATGTACATATTTTCTTCCCTTATAGAGTGTAAGCTCCTTGAGAGCAGGAATGTTTCATTTTTGTGTTTGTTCTAACATTGTTTCTAGCACATAGGTGCTTTTAGAAATGCTTGTTAATTGATTACTGCTTCATTTAGAATTGTAAGTGCCCACCATATGGAGAGAATGGTATTAATGTTAGGGATGCAAAGATAAAAAAGTCTCTACTTTACAATCATATGTGGAATAAGACATGTACAAAAAGTAGAATGTAATATCAGCTAATAAAGGATAGAGGTGGAGTTCTGTATTGCAAGAAGGATACATCCCTTTCAATTTGGGGATCTGGGAAGGCTTAATGGAGGAGATAGCATCTAGGCTGGATCTCTAAGGAAGATAATTCTCTGTAGGTCAATGCAAAGAAAAAGCAGAACAAGAAAAAGAGAGGGTATATTAACTAAGATCATATACAGTAAGAGAAAAAATGACTGAGAATGTCTGGACAAAGAATACCAATAAAGACTTAGGAGTGACAGAACAATTCCCTTGATTCTTTATTATTGAAATTAAAGTTTAGTTGATAACTTCTTTCCTTGCTTGCTTGATATGGGACTCACTGCATACCCACCAAAATGGCTGTTCCAGAAGTTGTCTTCAAGCCCCAACATAACCACAATCCCTCTGTCTCTTAGCAAATGGTCTCATCTTCTACTTTACAGAAAAAATCTGCCTCACCTCCCCTTCTCTACATGACAAAATCTCTCCACATCATCTGTTCATTGTTACAGGAGTGGAGCTATTCAAAAGTGAAATGGTTCACCTCAGGATGTAGTAGTTTCCTTCTCACTAGAAATCTTCACAGAAGGACTTGAGGCTAGCAAAGACAGGTGATATTTGAGAGGAGATTCCTGTTCCTATACTCTTTGGACTAGATGGCCTTTTTGATTCATTCCGACTCTGAGATTCTGTGAACTATACTTGCAAAACTGTGAAGGGAAGAAAGTAAAGCAAGAGGAGAAGTGATGGATTGAAAGGTGAGAATAAAGAATAGGTTTAGGAATGAGGGAAATGGAAGGACAGGAGATAGTGATCATAGAGGAGGATTTTATAGTTCAAGATATGGTGGGACAGTTTGGGATGTTGGTGAGATTGTCGACCCTTTTGTAATCTGAGGTAGAGTGAAGATATAGACCATGTGAGTTGAAAAGGTTAATGAACTGGGAACCCAAAGAGTTAAAGAGATTATCAGGTTGTTTAGTGAAGCCCATTAATATGAGGGCAGGAGTGAGGGTGGAAAAGAAGACTGTGAAGTATGTACTGAAATACTTAAGAAAGGAGGAGAAACAACCTGGAAGAACCTATATTACAGCAACAAGGATCTGGGCCAAGTAGCTGAATAGAATGAGCCTGAAATGAGGAGAGACTGCTTAGTGATAAAAGCAGAGGGAGGATCTGAAAGGGGGCAGTAAGGAACAAGGAATATTCTTTTTTCTCTTCCTGGCCTTGGTTTAGTGTTGTAAGGTATGAAAGGAACAAATAACATTGTAGAGGGTGGCCAGGGAAGAATTGTGAGAGACAAAGACCTTGGTTGAAGAGAAATCTGTTAAGGATTTGTGGGGTTAGAGAGGAAATAGTTTCCAGAGGCTGAATGGAAGAGAGAGGGCAGAGGACAATAGGGACTGGGAATGAGGTGGGGTAGGATTGGATGAGGGTGCAAGGAGATAGGATCATAGATTTAGAGCTGGAAGGGACCTGAGAGATCATTTACTCCCACCTCTTCATTTTATAGGTAATGAAATTGAGACTCAGAGATGATTTATCAAAGGGTTACACAGATGTTAATTAGGAAAGCCCAGATTCAACCCAGGTCCTTTGACACCAAATTTAGTGTTCTTTTGAATAAAATCTCAGAAATTAAAATGTTCATAATATGTTCATTTGGTATGTATTCAATGTCATAAGTACAAAGCACAGTACTAGGCCCTGGGGATATAATGACCAAAAAAAAAATTTGTCCTTCCCCTCAGGGAGCTTACCTTGGGATGGGGGGAGGCACTAGGGAATAGAACCAAAGGGAAGTAATGCTGAGGATGTTCGTGCTAGAATAGAGCAAAGAGAATATTTTTGAGATATGTTGTGAAGGTAGGAAAAAAAAGGTAGAAATGACAGGAATCGACAAGTGATTGGTAATGTGAGCTGAGAGTGAGGAATGTAGAATGACATCTAGATTTTGAGCCTGGGTGACTGAGAGGATGGTGATACCCTCAGCAGCAATAGGGGAAGCTGGGAAAAGGGAGGTTTGAGGGGAAAGATAATGAGTTCAGTTTTCAACATGTTGAGTTTAAAATGTCTATAGGACATCCAGTTCAAGATGTCTAATAGTTGGAATTAGAAGATTAGAGTTTGGAATAGAGGTTAGGGCTAGGCAAGTAGATGTGAGAATCATCTGTATAGAGATAATAGTTGAAATCATGGGAGCTGATGAGATTACCAAGTAAAATATAGTAAAAAATAGAGTTGAAAGGGACTTGAACTAGGATAGTTCAGAATGAGTGGAGAAAAAGGGACAGATGTGGGAGTTGTTGAGTTAGAATTTAAGTTACTTGGCAATTTAATGTGTTAGGTTAGGTTCCATTTAAAGTGTAAGTACTCTGCTTCTGTTAGAAGTCTGTTAAGTCTTAAGTTTTCTGACCCAGTTGTTTGGCTTTTTTTTTTTTCGTGTTTCACAGGCTTGGAGCAGTGATATTTCAGTTCAATTCAACTGACATTTATTAAGCACCAACCATTTGCAAGGCACTGTACTAAGTGCTGGGGAGACAAAGACAAACAATGAAACAGTCCCTGTCCTCAAAGAGCCTTCATTCTACTAGGGGGATACAACGTATACACAAGTAAGTAAATGCAAAGTATGTATAAAATAGTCCAAAGTAATTTCAAGAGGAATAGAGTTTCTAACTTGGGGCGAGGAGTCAGAAAAAGCTTATGTAGAAAATGGCCCTTGAGCTGTGCTTTGAAAAAAGCTAAGGATTAAAGGAGGTTGCAGTAAAAAGCACACTGCAAGAATGGTGATCCCCATTTCAGTGGGAAAACTTCTAACATGCCAAAGTGATTTAGAGGTTGTAAATCTGAAGGATTATTATAAATATATGGAGTGTATTAAATGTAAAATTAAGTTGTTCTCTAGCATAATTTATGTGTTTAAAGAATATCTAAATTGAAACAATGAATTTTTAAATATCTATGATTATTATTGCAAAATATCTGTGCCTACAAGTCTTTAGGAATCCTTCTATTTCCATAAAATCAGACCTCACTAAAATTCTGCCAATATCTTACTGCTTCAGGGGTTCATGGTGGCTATTCCAGTAGAGTGAAAGTTCAGAACGCTGATAGCATCATAGATGTTGAGCTAGAAAGGATGGAAGTTACAGATCTTCTAGTCTCATCCTTTTATATTACAGAATGAAAATAAATACTGAGGTATAAAGAGTTAATGATTTACCAAGCTGGAAAAGATTGAAGGACAGGCTAGAAAGACTATATATCTTTTGTCTGAGGACCATCCTAGTTAAATTCCAAGAGGCTCCATGATCTTTTTGGCCCTACAGTGAAGAATTTTTCAGAAATAGCACCCCCACCCCCACCCTTACAGACCTGTTAAGTTGTAGAAGGATTATAATCTGTGTGGGTGAAGGGAATATTCATACCAGTGAAATTACTGATCCTCAATATGGTGAGCTGAGCTACTTGAGGTATCCATCCTGTGTTTCTGCTACTCAAAACTTGAACCACTTCATATATTCATCAACTTTATTGAGAATTTGCAACAGGCCTAATAGGTACTGTGGAGAATATTTCTTAAATACTTGACGTATTGGTGATTTTGTTTTTATATGAATTCCTTCTGCTTACACAAATCACACCCTTCCTGTAATTCAGTAAAATTGGGTTTTGAGGGGTTTTGTGGCTGAAAAATTGATTATGCTGTGGCTATTCTAGTGATCAGTTTCTCCATCTAGACTGTTCCAGGATGACCAGTATACAGTCTGTCATCTGGGTCTTTTTGAAACTTTTGCAGCTTGGTGTGAAGTATTCCAGGGTATGGGGTATTGAGAAGGAAATAGCACCTCTGGTATGAGGGCTTGCTGAGGACTTTTCAGGGCTGCTTATCCACCTTTGGTGTCCACCTAGCACTCATTTCTCACCTGTGGTTCCAAGAAGCCACACCCCAGTAAACTGTCTTGGAAGAGAGACTATGCTGGGTTGAGGGTAACTGACAGATCATAAACCACTTGGTGAATTAAGGGAGTGTCTACCCCAAGAGTGTGAAGACTTCCCCTGGTGGTATGGGTAGATGAGAACAGTTTGTTCCAAGGGCCATGAAGGTGGCTAAAGCAGGCAGTATGGAGCACTTAGAGCTTGGTCCGGCATTGAAGACACCAAGGTCAATTTACTTATTGCATCCCAGGCCTTTGCCAGTAGTCCTGACTTTTGTCTTGCCACAGGACCAAAGTGACTTAGGAAGAGAGAGTGATGCTGATGACTTTGTGAAGCTTAAATCCAGTTCATGCATGAGTCAAGACATCACCATGATGTCATTGGTCCCCTTCGAAAATGAAGGACAATCCACAAGAACAAGGCATGTCAGAACTTGACCTCTGAGAATTTAGTATTACTTTCATCCCAAAATTACACATTAAAGGAGGAGCTAGGCTGTTGACTTATCTATTAAGTCATGTACTGATTGCTATTTTATTCCAGTTGTTGTTGGGTTTTATAATGTTATGCAATCCCCTTTCTGTCTGTATCTCTATAGAATATATATTTTATATATTTATTTTCTGTATTTTCAAAACCATTTTATCTACCATTTCCTGTCCATGATCACCTTTCAGTTCTGTTAAACAAGCATTATTAAACACTATTTGACAGCGATGACATGCAAATTAGTGATTTTCATATTTTACTTTCCTATTGCCTACAGATAAAACTATAGCTTCCTTATCTTAAAAAAAATCTTTCACTTGATCCTGTCATGACTTCAAACTATCATCAAATACATGTGTCTCTTTTCCCATCCATAGCAGTCTCTTAGGAAAAAAAAGAAACTCCATTTCCTTCCTTCCCATTCACTTTTCATCCCTTTGCAATCTGGTTTATGACTTAACCATTTGGCTGCTCTAATAATACTGAATGACTCCTTACTTTCTAAATTAGATAGCCTTTTTTCATACCTTAACTTTCTTAACGTTTATGCATCCTTTTATACTCTTAATCACCCCATCCTCCAGTATACTCTTGCTTCCCTGGGTTTTTCTGATGCTACCTTCTCCGGGTTTTCCTCCTACCTGTCTGACTGCTCCTCAGCCATCTTTGCTGGCTCATCATCTGTGTCCTACACATGATACTTGGTTGTACTATAGGAAAATATCCTGGGTCTTCCTCACTAATAGAGAAGATATAAAGAGAGGTCTTGTCACCTGAGTTCACTTATCATTTCTTTGTAGATGATATGATGGTATTGGTAGATGAATCTACTGGTTCAGCCCTCTCTTCTCTGGGATTCATTTCTACATCATAAGCTGCTTGTTGGATATTTACATCTGGATATCTCCTAGTTTTATACTAGACTTGTACAAAATGGAGCCTGTTTTCTTTTCCCCCATTCCCACCCCTATTCTGAACTTCCATTTTATTTTAAGGGCACACCATTCTTCCAGTAATACAGGTTTGCAATCCTAAAGTCATCCTCAACTCTTTCTTCCTCGGCCCCTTGTAATCCACTCAGTGCCAGTCTTTTTGAGTCTGCTACATCTCTTCATCCATGCCCTCCTCTCTACACAAGCAGTAAAAACTTTAGTTCAGGCCTTCATGCCTCTCTCTTAGACTGTAACAGTCTCCAGACAGGCGTCTCCACCCCAGTATCTCCGCTGTCCAATCTTTTATCCACATAGCTACCAAAGCCAGAGTCCTAAAGCATAGGTTTAGCCTTATCATTTTCCTTAGAACCTCATTGCTTTTAGAATGAAACATAAACTTTTTTGGTATGTAAAACCTCTCACAGTCTTTAACATATTTTTCCAGTTTGATTTCATGTTACTCTACTTTGTGCATTTTATATTCTAGCCAAATTGGGCTACTTGGCATTCCCTGAACTTGGCGTTCTATCTCCCTGCCTTTGCACAGGCTATGCATGTGCACACCCATGACTGGAGTGTTCTTCCCTTCTCTCTCTTAGAATCCTTAGCTCCCTTGAAGGCTCAGCTGATCTTCCTACAAGAAATCCTTTACTTATCTCCTAATTATTAACACTCCCCTCCAAACCCATTTATTTTATATACTAATCTATTATGAGCTGTAGTTCCTAGAGGGCATGGAGTTCTGTGTATTATCTGAATCTTCATTTCAGTATGTTGAACGGAATCAGCACTTAATAAATACTTTCATGAGGTATTGTGAACTATGTTCTCTCTGTATTCTATTATCTGTCATCTACAAAAGTTGCCTCACTTATCATTTTAGGTTTTACACATATTATCCACATATATGGGGAGTGTGTGTGTGTATTCCTATATCCACACATTGATATGGTGGACTTTATGCCTTTTTAAAATCAAATTTTTTTTTAAATTTTTTTTTCTCCCTCCCATTTCCTCCCCCACTGGAAAAAAAAAAGAAAGGAAAAACAACACTCTCTTCAAAATGTGCATGGTTCTTTTTTTTTTTTTTTAAGGCAGTTGGGGTTAAGTGATTTGCCTAGGGTCACACAGCTGGTAAATGTCAAGTGTTTGGTCTGAGGCCGGATTTGAACTCAGGTCCTCCTGACTTCAGGGCCAGTGTTCTATCCACTGCGCCACCCAACTGCCCCCAAAATATGCATAGTTCTTACTAGCTGTGACCCTGGGCAAGTCTCTTAACCCTGATTGCCTCACCAAAAAGCAAAATAAAATAAAATAAAATATGCATAGTCAAGCAAAACAAATTCTTATATTGACCACGTCTAAAAATATGTGTCTCATTCTGCACATTTAGTCCATCACCTCTCTATGAGAAAGTTTATAACATGCTTCATCCAAAGTGCTCTGGAATTCTGGAATCACCGCATTAATCAAAGTTCGTAAGTGTTTCATAACTGTTTACTTTTTTTAAAACACAATTTTTAATAGTGTAAATTGTTTTCTTGGTTCTGCTCACTTCATTCCATATGAGTTCATACAAGTCTCCTGAGATTCTCTGAAACCATCTCCTTAATTATTTCTTGTGGCATAATAGTGTAGTAGTACATAAAGCCAGGATGCTATATAAATTCTTCTGTCCCCTTTCTGTGTATTTTATTTATTCTTTCTCTGTAGTTATGATAAAAACTATTCTCTTTTATGCATACTTGCATACTATTTTGAGCATATATGAGGCTTTGGGTGTCTATGGAAACATTTTAAAAGTTATTAATTTTTAAAATTATTATATGATGTGGGTAAAAATAATTAAATAGAGTTTTCTTGGTGACTATTACTGAAGTGGACTTCTGTTATATTAAATGCATTCATTCCCTCAAATAATTCCAGGACCTTAAGATGAAATATAATTTATTATATTGAATTAGTAAAGGGGGGCGGAAGTGCTTTGAATCCATTGTGGGAATTAGGGGGATGTCATCTGCTTTGTATCTCCATTCCTTTTAAGTTCTGGAATCATTTATTTTATTGAATGGTTTGATAAGTTGGTAAAGTTCTTCTAGTGGTGGTTACTTGAATATTTGATTAGGGAAGAGGGAATTAAAGAGTCACTTTAACTTTGTAGAAAGACAAACAAAACTGAAGCATTTAGATTGCTTCTTTTCTTTGCTCAGTTATGCAAATAGTACACAATCAGGTTATACAGAGTAATTATTACTTTCATGGCCTGGAACTGGAGAAAGCACTTGGAGTGGATTATTCTTTGTAGAAAATTCATTTCATTGAAACTAAACTAGCAGAGAAATATCATTAACAGCTAATCACCAGCAGATGGATATAATTTTATTTTACGGAACCTGTCTTGGTGTTAATATTCATTCTAATGGAATTTCAGCAGCGTTGATTTTAGGATTTTCAAAAATTACTCTCTTTTCCTGTTCTTGTTGTGTCTCAAAATGTGGCCTAAAAATTAGATTTCATAGAAAAACTGAGTAGGAGTAGGTTCTACCTTATGGTGTTGCATGATAAAGCCAAGTAATGTTTTTGTGTCAGTAAATGTTGATAAACAAGTTAGAATTATTTTCCTTTGTGGACTTTTTAGTAACTTTCTCTAACCTCATGATGAACATAATTTTTTTATTACAGATTTGAGAGAAAAAATCTAAGTGTCTGAAATTAGTGTTGATACAAAAATTTATCTTCAACTCAGAATGTTGGAAGAGGATGTGGAAGTGGCCATCAAGGTGGTGGTTGTTGGGAATGGAGCTGTTGGGAAATCAAGTATGATTCAACGATATTGCAAAGGCATTTTTACAAAAGACTACAAGAAAACAATTGGAGTTGATTTTTTGGAGAGACAAATCCAGTATGTATTTTTTTTTCCCCTATTGGTTTTGGTATGTTATCTAAGTCTGGGAGATCTATAGGGATATCCTTATGAAGAGGCAGTATGATGTGGGAACATCGAATTTGAAGTGGGAACATATCTAAGTTAGAACTTCTGGCCCTTAATAGCTGTGTGGTCATGGGCAAATAACAACCCCCTTGAGCCTGAATTTCTTTATCTGTAAAATGGAGATAATGTCTATGATACCTACCTTACTAGGTGGTTATAAAAATAAAATGAGATAATTTATGTTGGTGTTTTATAACTTTAAAGTGCTGAGTATATAGGTCAACTATTACTGTAACACTAATTTCACAAGCATCTTCAGGGGCAGGTTTCCTATGGCAGTGGTCTGAGTAATGGCACATAAGGCAGTTGTTGATGCTATACTATTTATTATCTGTATGCTCCTCTTTTCTATTCCTGTTACTTCTTTCTTTATTCTTTTTTTTCTCTTCCCTTTTTTCCCCTCTCTCACTTTCCTTTTCCTTTCTTTTTTTTCTTTTCCCCTACCAGCAGCACACTCACTGGTGACACTTGACTTACTTTAGTTAATTTTTGACTCTCAGAAAAATGAATTTATAACTGTATTAAGAAGTTTTATCTGCACCAACACAGGATGTCCTTTGGTTGGCAGAGAACACATTGATGTTAAAGATTTGGTAGCAGAAAACAGATTTGGAGAGGATTAAAGACTTGTTGGTAAGAGAATAGTTAATTTAATTGAGTCTTAGGAGGACAGGCTTGCTCACAATTAAGAATTGAATTTAAAGAGAAGATAAAATAGTACTTTTTGTTGATCCTGCCCAGTTTTGAGTAGGGCAGCAAAGAAAGGGGTGGAGATCCCATGTGAATAAAGGAAACTGTTTCCCTTCCTGGGTGTCCCCAAGGGTTTATAGCAACCAGCTGGTTATAGCTAATCATATAGAAATCCGGTCAACATTTAAATACCTGTTATGTATAAGGAACCATAGTAGGTAATAGATATAGATATAACAAGAAACAGTTCAAGTCTTCAGGGAGCATGCAATGAAATAGAGTGACAAAGTATATATTATAGTAACTTCTGTTCAAGGAGGGGTGTGATAAGTATACAAGAGAGATCTAAACAGAGTTCTGTGAGAAGTTCAAGAAGGGAAAAGTCACTTGTACTGGGATGATCAGAGAAACCTTAATGGGGAAGGACAGCACATTAATTGGGCCTTAAAGTAAGAAGAAAATATGAGTAGAGATGTGAAAGGAGTATTTTCAGCCTTACAGACGCAAAAGAATGCAGTGTGAAATCAGTGTGAACTGTTTTTCAGTTTAGCAGTTTTCAGTTAGTTCAGTTTTCTGGGAAGGTAGAGTGTGCAGAGTGAGGGGTGGAGCAAAATGATATAGAAAGCTAAGTCAGAGCCAGAGTGTGAGGAGTCTTGTATTTCAGACCATGGAGTTTGTACTTTATGCTATAGGCAGTGAAGCAGGAGAGTGACAAAGGAAATGTGTGGTACATGTATTGAAAGGCTTAGAAACTAGATGCAGAGGAATAATTCAGAGGCTGTTACAGTGGTTTAAGCAAACTGAAATGAGAACTTCAATTAAGATGGTAGCAGTGTGAAGTAGAAAACGGAGGAAGGATTTGAAAGAGGTAGTGCTCATACGGGTGGTAAGACACGGTGATTAGCTGCATACAGGAAGTAAAGGAAGAATTAAAGAGGGCTCTGAGGAAAATGAAAAATTCTTTGCTATGGTTATCTAGGAGGTAAGATAAGGGGGAAAGTTAAACGAAACAAAAGATACCAATAATTTTTTAAAAAGAATTCTGGAATTTCAAGCTTGGGTAATGGATAGGGTAGCAGTACCATGAACCCATATAAATAAGGTAGGAGGGTAAGGGCAAGCTTTGGGAGGGATGGGAGTAGGAAAGAAGATGAGTCTGTTCAAAGCAAGGGAAAAAGCAAAAATAAAGGCAAGAAAGGGAAAGATTCTTGTGAGAGCCTTAATGTTAAAGCAACACTGCCAAAACCTATCTAAAAAGGTAGTTCATTTATTATATATTTATTTACTATATATTTTCTTCTTTTACTCATTCCTTTTTATGAAATGAATGATTAATTGGAAACAAAAGATACATATTTGCTAACACAAAGTTAGTATTAAAAGTGCTAAAAAAACTTGAAATTTAACCTTGACAAGTCTAATTTTACTTTCTAAAGTTGGCTGATATTCAGTAAAAACAAGTAATATTTTTAAGAACTTCAGTTTTTAAAAAATCAAAATACTGAAATGTCATTGAATTTTTCCACTTACAATTTGAATTAGCATGTCTTTTTTTTTTTTTTCCAGAGTTAATGATGAAGATGTCAGACTAATGTTATGGGATACAGCCGGTCAAGAAGAGTTTGATGCAATAACAAAGGCTTACTACCGAGGTAAATTTTGATTTTTTTCTTCTTTTGTCTTGTTCTTATAGATAAATAAGAAAATTAAGTTTTGTTGCCTAATATTTTCTCTTTAGGAATAGTTATAATATCAAAATATTTTAGAAACCCAAGGTCATAATGTTCTTTATACCTAAGTAAGTGACTAGTAGTACCTTATTTTATAGTAAAAATCACATGGGGACAGCTTGGCACAGTGGATAGAGCACTTGCCTTGGAGTCAGGAGGACCTGAGTTCAAATCCGGCCTCAAGACACATAATACTTACTAGCTGAGTGACTCTGGGCAAGTCACTTAACCCCAATTACCTCACCAAAAAAAAAAAAAATCATATGGACGTAGTGAAGTTATTTTATCTAAATTTTGTAAATCATAGAAAAGCTGTGAATTTTTCTTCTAGAAATCAGAACAAAATTTACTTGTCTTGTCCTACAGTGTTGGTTCTTACTTAGTAAAAGTAATAGCTAATTATAAAGATTTGGGATCCTTTATAAGACCTAGTCTAGTCCTTATCAAAGGGAGTCTTCTTTGGGCAAGAAGTTTCTGTACTGTCCCTACCAATAAGTACTTAGGGAGTGCCTACTGTTTATTCAACATTATCCTAACCATTGTGGAAAATATAATAAAAGTATAACATGTTCCCTTTCTAGTTGAAAAGATAAGCCTGGTATTCTTGAAATAGCTGCAGAAAAAAAAGAGACAGACTATAACTAAGTATTAAATTAGATAATATGGACTATAAATAATAAATTCATAGGAGAAGAAGGTAAATGAGGGTAGAAAGAGCAATACCTCCAAGATTAGAACTTCAAAATAAAGTCAGGAGCTAGTAATAAAGAAGCTGAGATGAATAATGATTTCCTGTAAAATACCTCTTTTATTGTTAGAATTTTAAAATGTTATTTGCTAAGATTAGTATGACTCAACAGTGACTATAATGTGTTTCTAATAACATAGTACTAAATAAATTTGTTTAGCACATATTCAGTATCGTATTATGCAGCCTATTAACACTAAGTAAGTTCTTCAGTCGATCTGTGATCTCGTCTAATCTGTTTGGATACTCCCTTCCTTCAGCTTTTCAGATTTCAACCCATAATTGTTCTGTTATCCCACACAGCTCTTGTTCATGTCCTGCCAGCAAGCTAGAGGCAGACTTCTTCATCTTTTCATAATGTATGGGTACCAGTGTACCATCAAATTGTCTTAATCTGTTATATGACTAGCTATATGACTGAACCACCTCCTTTTCTGGGCATACTATTTCTTGGTGGTGCAGACTTAAAGAATCTCAGAGTTTGAAGGCTAACTGGCCATCAAGTCTAAAACATCTACAAAAGAAACCCTTGCTGTAACATACCTGATGTGTTCATTTAGTCTCTGCTTGAAGACCCCAAGGAATGGGAACCTGCCACCTCTTTATGGCTTGCTCCATTGATTTTTTTTCTCTATATCTTGTTCCTGTGTAATAGAGGTATTCTTTATTTCTGTAACTACTCAATCCATTTCATCTCAGTGATCAGTTTTGTTGGTTTATAATTGGGCAAAATTATTTTGAATAATTTCCTTTATTTCCTCTTTATTTGTTGTGAATTTTTTTTTTCATTTTTGATTTTGGCAATTTCATTTTCCTCTACTTTTCTGATCATATTAACTAATATTTTGTATTTTGTTAGTTTTTTAGCTCTTAGGTATTTTTTTGCCAATTCAGTTGAGGTTTTTCTTTGTTGTTTTAATTTTATCTCTACTTTGATTTCACAGTTTCTTTTTTTGTGTTTGGTTGGGCTTTTTGATTTGTTGCCTTTTTTTAGTTCTATGTCCAATTTAATGAACTATATTTTCTTTCTTTAATGAAGGTATTTAGAGATAACATTTTCCCCTAAGGACTGCTTCGGCTACATGCTGAATGTTTTGGTATATTGTCTCATCATTGTAATTTTCTTTGATGATGAAATCATCTATTGTTTCTCATTTGTTCTTTGACCCACTTTGAAGATGGTATTTAGTCTCCATTTAAATTTGAATAATTTTTTCAAGTACTCTTTATCGATTGTACTTTTTATTACATTGTGGTCATTAATGGGTATGTTTAATATTTCTCTTTTTTCACTTTTATTTATGAGGTTTTTATGCTATAATGCATGGTCAGTTTTTGTAAATATGCCATGCCCACCTGAGAAATATACATATATATACACATATATATATATATACACTCCTTTTAATTCCCATTCAACAATTACCAGAGATCCATCTGATCTAACTTTAATAAAATTCTCTTTATGTCCTTAATTTTTTTTGTTATTTATCTTTTTGTTAGATTTATATAGTTCTGAAAAGGGTATATTGACGTCCCCAACTATAGTTTTGCAGTCTTTTTCCCCCTGTCATTCAATTATCTTTTTCTTTAAGTATTCAGATGCCTTGCTATTTGGTACATATAAAGTATTGATCCTGTTTCATTATTCATGGTGGCTTTAAGTATAATGTAGTTTCCTGGCTTATCTTTTAGCACATGTCTGTTTTTTACTATTGCCTTGCTACTTTGCTTTTTAGAATTCACCTGAGGTAAAATTCTGCCCAAGTCCTTCATTTTAATTATTTGATTTTTTTAGTATTTCAAGTATGTTTCTTATAAACACTTTGTTGTTGGATTCTTCTTTCTTATTCATCCTGCTTCCTTCATCTGTTTTTTAAGTGAGTTCATCCCATTCACATTCATGGTTACATTGTTAATTGTGTTTTCCATTCTATCATATTCTCTTCCACTTTTTACTTTCTTCACTCTCCTCTTTGCAAAGAGGATAGTAAAAGACTTATCCTATTCCTCTATTCTTGTTCTCATCATCTTATCTGGACTTCAAATATTGGTTCTTATACTTTTTCTACTGTCTTAATTTCTCTTTTATGATGATCCACCCTCCAGAGTTGAAGTTTGGAAGCTTGTGACTACTCCTTCTCTAATGAGCTCTCTTTCTTAAACCTCTTGTCTACTCTTCACTTGTTTTTCTACACCAAATTCTCCTTTGCTTAGCTAGATAAGAATGGAGGTTCATTGGTTTCCCACTCCTCCATGTTTATACTTTTCTCAAGCACCCCAGTTATGAGATATAAGTTCTCTCTTCTTCATTTCTTCCTTACTGGATTCTTTTTTCTTTCCTTTTTCTTTTCTCTCTTAAAACCAATAAGAACAAACAAAACTAATCCCCAGATCCTGTGTTTTTCTTTCTTCCTTGTGGCCTCTAAAGACAGAGCCATTCCAAAAGGTTACCTATCTTTTCTCTCTAATAGAATCTAAGTACTTTTTCATCATTTAATCATCTCCTCTTGCCCAAATGTATTTACCTTTTGAAGTTTCTCTTACAGTTTTTTTTCCCGTTTCTTCTTCTATCCAGCCTCAGTTTTTGGATTGGGACTTTGTCCTAGAGCCATGCTTTACCCCCTTCTCATACTCTTGGATGGGGCAGGTAGGTTCTGGTTAGCCTATCCCTTCTCACGGCTGGATATTTCTGTAGTTCTGAATGTTTTCACTTTTACTTGGCTCCATCCTCTACTTCATTGCCTGCCTTCTGCCTCTCTTTTCCATTGACCCAGTGCAAGTCCAGTCTCTGTCTACTTCTTGCACAATACACAATCAAGAATTTACTTTATCCCTTGCTTTGGCCTTATCAGTCTTAATCTGAGGTTAGAGATTGTGATGATCTTGGATCTCTTGGAAGGCTTCGTCTCATATATCTTATTGTTAAACTGACCTTGCCTCCTGCTGTTACTCTTAAGTGCTTTGAGACATGGCTGCCCTGACAGTCCAGTGCTAAAGTCCTATATGTTGGGCTGGCTTCAGACCTCTCTTTATAGGTCCCTGTTAAGAGCTCCAGATGGCTTCAGACTCTTTTATACCAGAACTTGCACTGGCTTCTGATTCCCACATTATTATCCTTCTCTTTTTCTCTTTTTCTTTTTTTTTGTCTTTTTTTAAGCTGGGCAGTGGGGTTAAGTGACTTGCCCAGGGTCACATAGCTAGTAAGTATTATGTGTCTGAGGCTGGATTTTTTTTTTAATAACAGTAATTTTCTTTTTTTTTTTTTTGTTTTTTGTTTTTTGTTTTTTTAGTGAGGCAATCGGGGTTAAGTGACTTGCCCAAGGTCACACAGCTAGTACATGTCAAGTGTTTGGTCTGAGGCCAGATTTGAACTCAAGTCCTCCTGACTTCAGGGGCAGTGCTCTATCCACTGCGCCACCTAGCTGCTATTATCCTTCTCTAAGTGCCTTCAAGCTTCTAATTATCTATGTATGAAGTCATGGACTGAATGGTGCAGTTCCTGCTGTTTCCCTTATTCCATCTGGTGTTTGTTTAGTTAGTGCCCTTTTAGATCTGTGCTGGCATGTGTGTGAGAGTTGGAGTCTTCTAGGAGCTTTCATGTTACAGTCTTAAAAGGAGGTCCCCTACCTTATTGAATTGCATCTTATGGGTTCAGCCCAACTCATTAGTCTGTCAAAATCCTTTTGGATCCTGAGTATCATCAGTTTGTTAGCTTTGTGATATCTTGAAATTATCTGAGCTTGCTATCTGTGTCTTTATTCAAGTCATGGAAGAGTATATTAAACAGCACAGGGCCAACCATAGATATCTGAGAGACCTCCTACCTTTTAACCATTAACAATTTCTCTTTGAGTCTTGCCATCTAATCCTCTCAGAATCCATCTCTACTCCATACATCTCCATTTGCCCACAATAATAGTATGATGTGCTTAGCAAAAGCTTGGTTAACATCTTGGCAAACTTTATTCACTTCATTCTCATCTACTAGTTTACTAATCTTGTCAAAAAAGAAAATTAGTTTAGGCTGGTATGGTGTATTCTTGATGAAGTTGTGCTGGCTCTTTATAATCACTATTTCTCTTTCTAAATGTTTGCCAACCATCTTTTCTTTAATAATCGTTCATTGCGGGACAGACGGGTCCTTCCTACTCAAGAGTGTCTAGCTTCTTCCTCTTTAGGTAGAGTGTCAAACTTTTTTGTAAGCTCTATATAGCTGTTCTTTTCTATATAACACTCTTGTATGCTGTCTCCTCTACTCATTCTCAGATCCCCTTCTTTGCTATATTAAAGCTTCGTTTCTCTTTACTTTAGAAACCCTTCATTCTCTCTGACAACCTAAAGGTATGGAGAGGCTTTCTGAGTCCCTGCATATTCTCCAGGAAGATCATCCTACACATGGAACACAAATAACAGTCACTTGACTATGACAGAAATATAAATATTGCACATTTGATTCAAGGCACTGCACAATCTTCCCTCTTCTCCATGGTGATTGAGATTTTCAGCCTTTTTTTTTAAAACAACTTGTGGGTATTTATACTTCAACCTTAAGTACCTGGTTAAAACTATTATAGCTAATTAGTACCTCCCCCAACTTGACAGGCCCACTTACTTTCTTTTACCTAGTCTAGATAACAATTCCACATCTACCTCCCTTTCAGCCTGTTATCTTTCACCAGTGTCCCACCCACCAATCCACTATTATCCGTTTTATCCTTTTAATTTTCTTTTTCTTATTTACTCTGCTTTTCCAAATATCTTCTCCTCCGTCTTGAATCTACCTCTTCCGGTTGTATTCCCTAGTCTATTTTGATTTGCCTTAATTCTCTTCCTCTTCTTCTCCCATAATCTCCTACAGAAGCTGGAAATAGAATCAAAATTGGAAAAAAAAATATGTAGCCTTTATTAATACTTATATTGCCAAATTCTAATTGATATATGTCTGTATACCCTTACTATTTTTCTTACTATTTTCTTACCATTATGTTTTTATTTGCCTTCAATTTTGGTTCCTTTGAGTTTTTTCTGTTCTGTGATTTGTAGCCCTATAGTATCTCTGTAAGGGTAGCTAAAAGGCACAGTGGATAGAGCACTGGCCTTGGAATCAGGAAGACTCTTGTTCATGAGTTCAAATTCAGCCTTAGACACTTATTAACTGTGTGACCCTGGACAAGTCACTTAACCCTGTTTACCTAAGTTTCCTCAATCTATAAAATGAGCTGGAGAAGGAATGGCAAACCACTCCAGTATCTTTGCCCGGAAACCCCCCAGAAAAACAGTCATGAGGAGTGGGACACAACTGAAAAACAAAAAGTATCTTTGTAAGAGTGTTTAGAGGGGCAGCTAGGTGGCGCAGTGGATAGAGCACCAGCCCTGGAGTCAGGAGGACCTGAGTTCAAATGCAGCCTCAGACACATAACACTCACTAGCTGTGTGACCCTGGGCAAGTCACTTAACCCCATTGCCTGGGAAAAAAGAATATTTATACAAAAAAGATAGGTTTCAGTTTCATGGAGAAACTTGGTGTCACTGAAAGTGATGCATAATGTTCTAAATGCTATCTAGCCTATTAACTTCAATTCTGGCCTCAGCTTAGTATTCATCTACATTGTATATGGAAAAAACAAGCTGTTCATATCTAGCTCATATCAAAGCTTGAACAAAAGTCATTCTTCATTAGCTTCCTTTTTCTGTGTGGATCATTAGGCTCAATTCTTTTGAGTTATTATAAATCTTATTTAGGAGTCTTTATAATGTTCTGGAACTTGATGTAGTCAATACAATATCATCTATAAACAGGAACATCTGCAAGGATGCTCCACCATCTTTAGGAAATCCCTTTTCCATTTGTACTTTGTGGTCTGGTATAGAATATCATTTGTGGAAGTCAGCCTTTTCAGGAATAATCTATTCTCAGAAGTGAATGTGATATAAAAACAAAAGACATCAATAAAACAAGTAACAGTTGTTAAGAAAAATAATCTATCATTGATGAAGAAAATAGTTTTTTATAAAAATGTTGATATCAAATTTACCATTTTCTCAGTTCATATGGAAGGGAAAAAAGATTGTATAAAAATCATTTTAGAGCATCACATCTCTTGTTTTCATTTTTACTTTATTCTAGAAAGAAACTATTGGTCTGCTATGATTTTCTTTTCACAAAGTATTGTACATTATTCTCTATCATCTTATACTTTTCCAAGTTACAGCAAATTAATTGTTTTAGGTAGATGATAGAACCTTAAAGCTGTAAGGGACCTTAGTAATTATGAAAGCCAAACTTCTTCATTTTGCTGATGAGAAAAAGAAGGTGGAGGTTAAGTGACTTACGCAGTAGTGTACAGCTAGTTATTTTCAGTAGACATTCATAATTCATTTTAAGGTTAATCATGAATTTAAATTCAGCAAGCCAGTTCCTTACTGTCAAGGCAAAGCTGTGTTTATACATTAACAGCTACCATAATTAAACTTCATATAAGTAGTGTGGAGAAAAGAAAAAAATGTATAAGTACATAATTTTTTGGACTCAACAAAATTGGAACAGAGGCTAGATCTTACTCCTGAATCAACAGTTTTCCCCTTATACTTATTTCTAGATAAACATTACAACTAAATATTTTTCTGATACTTTTGGAAATCAAATCACTTTACTGGGGTATAAGATGAATCTTTTGTTATTCTTAAATTCCATGTAATTTGTTATTCTTAATTCCATGTAATTGTATTATAGTGATATTCCAGTGTTTAATGTGTTTTTTGAAGGGTTTTTAATGCTGTGTAATAATTTAAACTGTGTATAGTTAATAATAGTAGCTAGCATTTATATATTGCTTTTAACTTAGCAAAGTCCTGCCTCTGACATAGACTAGCTATGTAACCTGGAGCGCTTAGCCTTTCAGTGACTAAACCAACTTTTTGAAGAAAAATTCATTTTTTATTAGTATTTTATTTTTCCCCAGTTACATGTAAAAAAAAATTTTAATATTCCTTTTTCTAAAATTCTCTCCCTCCCTCCCCGCAAGCTCCCTACCGATTGAGAAGGCAAGCAATTCAATACAGGTTATACATGTGTAGTCATGCAAATCCATAATAGTCATGTTGTGAGAGAACATACAGACAAAAAAAAACTCAAGAAAAATAAAGTTAAAAAAAAGTATGTTTCAGTCTATATTCAGACACCATCAGTTATTTCTCTGGGATGGATAGCACTTTTCATCATGAGTCCTTCAAAATTGTCTTGGATCGTTGTATTGCTGAGAATAGCTAAGTCATTCACAGCTAATCATCTTATAGTATTGCTTTTATTTTGTACACAGTACATTTTACTTTCTATCAGCCCTTGCAAGTCATTCCAGGTTTTTTCTGAGAGCATCCTGTTCATCATTTCTTATAGTACAATAGCATTCCATCATAATCACCATCCTTGTTCAGCCATTCCCCAGTTGATGGGCTTCCCCTCAACTTCTAATTCTTCACCCCCAGAAAAGAGCTGCTATAAATAGTTTGGTACATATAAGTCCTTTTCCTTTTTGTTTTTTATTTCTTTTGGGATACAGATCTAGTAATGGTATTGCTACATCAAAGGGTATGCATGATTTTATAGCCCTTTGGCCATAGTTCTAAATTTCTCTAAAGAATGGTTGAATCAGTTCACAACTCCACCAACAGTGCATTAAAATCTCATTTTTCCCACCTCCCCTCCAGCATTTGTCATTTACCTTTTCTATCCTATTAGCCAATCTGATAGGTATGAGGTAGTATTTCAGAATTGTTTTAATTAGCACGTCTCCAATCAATAGTGAGAGTATTTTTTCATATGGCTATAGATAGCTTTGATTACTTCATCTGAAAACTCATCATTTGATCATTTATCAGTTAGGGAATGGTTCTCATTTTTATAAATTTGACTCAGTTCTTTATGTGTTTGAGAAATGAGGCCCCTCTTCTTGTAGCTTATTAAGTAGTCAGATTAAAGTTTTGGCTATTAATGGGAAGTTTGGGATAATTCTAAGAAAATGTCGTGATTCCTAGAAACAATATTTTGCTTCCACCAGTGGAATGGAACTTCTTGCACAGCAGCAGTTGTCCATCCTAATATCAGCTTCAATTATAAAACCCTCTTTTCCCTGAAGGTGAATTGCCCAGTTTTGGGTTGTTATCTTTTTTTGGAGGAAGAGTGAGTTAAGTGGGTACAAGTAAACAAATAAATCTAGACTAATTAGATCATTTGAATATTTTCCCATAATACAATTCTTGAAATGGAATTCAAGACTTGTTAGATGGGGAAGGTAGGAGAGAACGACACTTTGAGCTAAAGTGTAAAACTATAACCCACTTAAAACATTTTAAATAACCAAACTTAAGTACAAGTAAAATAAAATCTCCTTTTCCATGATTATTTTGTTAATTTTAATAACAACTTCTGTTTTTGGCATTTATAGGAGCCCAAGCTTGTGTACTTGTGTTTTCTACTATAGACAGGGAATCTTTTGAAGCAATTTCCAGTTGGAGAGAGAAAGTAGTAACTGAAGTTGGTGATATCCCAACCGTGCTTGTACAGAACAAGATTGACCTCTTGGATGATTCTTGTATAAAGAAGTAAGATGGCTACCCTCTCTTAATTTTACAGAAGCCAAGCATTAATTAAATTTGGTATTACTTTGGCTTATAAAATTTAGGAAAGCTGCTTTTAAAGACTACATTACACCAGAAATCAATGTGGACTCTGTGAATGGTTTGCATAGAAATGTGAGTGCTGAATTTTAAATGGGGGTGGGGTAGGGGAATTAAGTATATTTTAAGGGGTCCTTTTGCATTCAGATGCTAAATCTTTTTTTTCAATCCTTTTTATTTATAGGAATTCAAATAGTAATAGCTCACATTTATATTCAATTCAGTTTTAATTCAATAAATATTTTTTAAGCACGTAATATGTACCAGGTACTATATTAAGTACTGGGAATATGAATAAGAAAAGATAGTCCTTGCCTTCAAGGAGCTTACAGTCCAATGGAGAAGATAACATACCAAAGGGAGCAGGGAGGGATCACCACCAGGGGTACACAGCACAGGGGCATGTTGTTCTGTGGAGTCAAAGCCAAGCTGAGCAGTTGATGGAAAATGAAGTTATCGGGAAGGTTGTGAGCCCTCAGTAAAGTCTAAAGGAAGGCTTTGGGAGGAAGGCTTTTATATAGTACTTTAAGATTTACGAAGCATTCTGTTCGTCAATAGGCAAGGATAATATGGTTAATATCCTTAGTTTGAAGACATTTTAAAAAATGTATTGATATCTTTTATTTTTATACCACCTTAATTTCTGAATATGACCCTCCTCCACCCAGTGAGCTATCCCCTGTAACAAATAACAGGGGCAGGAGTGGGGAAGGAGTTCAGCAAAATTAATCAGCCCATCACCAGTCTGAAACTGTATTACAGTTTCACACCCATGGTGCTCGCTTATGCAAAGAGGAAAGCAAACATTGTATTTTTTTAATTCTTCTGGGCCAAGCTTTTTCACTATGATTATGCAGCATTCTGTGGTTGAAGACATTTTAGATACCACAGATCCTGTAATACTTTTATTGGATGTTGAAATATTAAATTATTTCAAATGTTTTTAATTCTCAAAATAGTCACTTACTGTTTATGATGTTTGGTAAATAAATGAAAGGCAGTATGGTTTAATGGAAAAAATTAAATTCTGCTATAAATGTGTGACCAAATAATTTCATCTTGGCCTCAGTTTCCTTCGCTGGATTATAGAGATAGTGATACCTTTAGCACTTACCTCATAGAGTGGTTTTGAGGATCAAATAAAATAATATATGTAAAGCACTTGGCAAACCTTAAAGCACTATCTGAATATCAGGGATTTTTTATAAGACATCCTTCTATGCAATTTAGAACTAGGGAATTCAAATCCACAAATGGAATTTGGCAGTCAGCTTGATCCTACTATTAAATAGATTTGCAGAATATAGCTTATTTATTGTTATTGATAACCTTGAAAAATCTTGGCTTTGTTTTCTTTTTAAAACAGTTTCCAGTAAAATAAAAATCGGAAGTCCACATTGGTATCTTTGTGTACATTGCAATGAAGATGCTGACTTTGCCTTTTGCCAAGCAGTATGCTTTTGTGGCCAGAATGAGTATAAGAAATAATTGTGCCTGAAAGTTTCAGTTTAGTTTGTTGCCTTTTTTCAGACTAGAAAGAGTTGCAAATAAGAGTCTCACATGAAATGAAATGAGAACATACCAGTTATAATGACTTTAGGGTTACAGACATACAGAGTGAAGGCTTTGTAGAATTGTTGTTGCTACTGGGAATGGAGATTGTTACGTTATGTATAAACTTTTGTTTAGGGCTAGCAAAGAGTGAAGGTGTTACTACTAAAAATTCTGATCGCCCCCAGTAAAAGTGTAGTTACTCAATTTCTTTCATTTAATTGGGTCTCAAAACTCAAACTTTTCTAAAATCTAATGAGTAAAATAAGATCTTGGTCTGGTCATTTTTCCCAGGTTATATTCAGCAAGTAGTATAGATTTAGTGGGACATCTGGGTGATGCAGTAGATGGAACATCAGCACTAGAGTCAGGAAGACCTGAGTTCAAATCTGTCCTCACACTCTTACTAGCTATGAGACCCTGGGCAAGTAACTTAACCCTGTTTGCTTCGTTTTCCTGATCTGTAAAATGAGCTGGAGAAAGATATGACAAACCACTCCAGTATCTTTGCCAAGAAAACCACCAAAATGGGGTCACAAAAAGTCGGCACAACTAAACAACAATAAAAATTAATTTAATAATAATTATCATATTAGAAAATAATGTCTTTATAAGTTTTATTTTTTGAATTTATGTGCAGTGAAGAAGCTGAGGCATTGGCAAAAAAATTAAAGTTAAGATTCTACAGAGCTTCAGTGAAAGAGGACCTAAATGTAACTGAAGGTAAATTGCTTTTTAAAAAAATTCATTGTAGAGTGTTAATGTTCTGTTTTATCCTTCTTGTTACTGTTCATTAATGTACCTGTCTTTCCACAACCTCTCCAGCCTGAACTATAGTATCACTGTTAAATATGAAATGTTTTACTCATATAATCGTATTGACCTAATAAATATTTTTTATTTTGGTGTAATTTAGCAGTAATATATCTGTTGTGTTTTATTTTAAAACAAACCAGATTTGATTGGTAAGTATACATTATTTTCTCCTTAGTTTTATAGTTAGCATACAGCATTCATCATAAACAACGTTTGAAAGCAAATGTTGGTTCTTTTCGTTAGTGGTGGATTAATAATATAAATACATATTGCGGTATATATAACGTATATTTCTTCCTAAAATGTGCCTTTCTTAGACTTTTGTACCAGAGATTATTGATAAATTGCTTTAAATTCCAGGAAAAAGTAATAAATTCCCACATTGATTGCCATATCAATTTCTTATAAGTAAATGGCATTCAAGAAAAGTAATAAAATTAGCACAGTGGATTCATTATGTGTTCCTGAACTTGTCCTTCACTTTGATAGCTGTCTGGGCTAGAGTTAGTCTTCAGTCTGGACAGTTTTCACATAATTAAAACAAATGCTTGTGAGTGAATCCATTTTGAGATTCTGAATGTCAGTTGTGTAAATACTTGAAGAAAAGGATTAAATATATGCCGGTTTCTACACTAACCAATGCAGTTATAAAAAGACTTGAAGTTCTAGCCAGGTGTTTTGTATACCTTAGCTGTAGATATTTCAAAACAGTTAACAAACATTCTCTCCACCCCTGCAAGTCCTATTCCACACCCCCTCAGCTCCAAGGCTTTACTTCTCTAGGTTAACTATCCCAACTGGTATTCAGTTTGATGGCAGATTGTGGAGGGGGGGGAGGTTAGAAAAGATTTGTAGTCTAGATTGAAATTATATTTATATCCTCAACTCATCAGGCAGGGGTTTGTTGTGCAACTAAAAATATGATACAATAAGCATTTATTAAAAGATGTATATATACAGAGGACTCTATTAGACAATGAGATACAGAGTTTAGAGAAGACATGGCTCCTGTGTTCAGCGAGCTTAGTCTAGTAGGAGGATTAACCATAGATGTAGCTATATCTATAGTTATAATACATAATATAAAATGATGAATACATTTGAAAGGTACAAAATAAATTGGTACAAGAGGACTGAAGCTGGAAAGTCATTGTCAACAAGGGGTAAATTAAGGAAGGCTTCCTGGAGGTAGAAATAGTTAAGTTCAATTTAAGTGCTTAATCAACAAGCATCTATTAAGCTTCTACTACAAGCTAGGCAGTGGGGATGCAAAGCCAAAAATGAAACAGCCCCTGCCCCCAAGGAGATTATATTCTATTTGGGGAAAAACTTATAATGCATATAAATATATACAAAATAGTTGGGTTTTTTTTTTAATCAAATCTGTGGTTTTATCAGTGTAAGGAATTTCTGATGAGAAAAAACCCTCTGCTAATATATGTCAGCATCTTCCCTGCAGTTAGTACTGTCAGTGAGTTGCCTGGGGCACCAAGAGGTTAAGTGACTTGTTGATTATGTCTCAGAGATGGGATTTTGTCCAGTCTCAGACTTGACCCTTACTAGCTGTGTGACTCTGGGCAAGTCACTTAACCCCAATTGCCTCGCCCAAAAAAAACACAAAAAACCAGAGATGGGATTTTGAACCCAGATCTTCTAACTTCAGAGGTTGACTCTACTCCTTCCTAAGGCAGACTGCTTCTGTTATGAATATTTACAAAAATGTGGAGGTGAGGGCATAGGTTTTAAAAGCTGTGGAGATGAGGAAAGGGCTCAGGTACAAGGTGGTACTTGAACTGCACTTTCAAAGAACTGAGAGATTCTAAGATGAGGAATCCTCTAAAAGCATGGAGGCAAGGGAACTATGTGAGGAATAGGAAAAAGATCAGTTTGACTGGACTGTATTAAGTTCATAAAGCGGAATAGTGAGTAGCCTAGAAAAGCAGGTTGGAGCTAGGTTGTGGAGGGCTTTAAGTGTGTAGTACTCCTTCAGCTCCCAGCACTTGTCCACTGGCTAAACTGCCTAAGCTCCTGAGAGAAGTTCTCCCTGAAATCTCTTTGGATAAAGAAAACCAACCTGAACTCATTCCTCCGTAATTATCAAACTCTGCCCCCACAGCCCACCCCAGGTCATACCCTGCTCATCTCAGTGATTCTATACCCCTGGCTTGTCATTGCTCAAAACCTGTCCTCCCTCACCTAGTCACTTAATCCCTCATTCCCATTCCCTTTGTCCCATCTCCCACAATGTTCCACTCTAAAGCTACCTTCCCCTTCTACTATGTTCTCTGTGATGACTCCTCTATAGGCAACAAACTTGCTTTCACCTTAAATTTTTTCCTTTCCCACTCCTTCTATCTTCTGAGTCTCACCTGGCCACCTCCTGATTACATAGTCTCCCCTTCTAGCACAATCTACACTTTTATAGTTGAGATGGGAGAGATGGATTAATCCTAGCTCCCCATTGCTATACTTGCAGCTGTTCCCTCTACTACCATCACTCAATAACCTCTGTTTAAGGTTCACTCAATCTGTATCTATCACCTAAACAAAATCCTGGTAGTTGTTGTCTACTGACCTCCAGGTCCCTTTTCCTCTTTCCTCAAAGTTCAATACCTGACTCATGGTCTTTCTCTCTTCTTCAGCTCTTGCCCTCATACTGGGAGACTTCAACATACATTTTGATTCTCCCTTGAAAACTCTAACCCAGAGGTGGGGAACCTGCAGCCTAGAAGTCACATATGGCCCACCTGGTCCTCAAGTGCGGCCCTTTGACTGAATCCAAAATTCACAGAACAAATCTCTTTAATAAAAGGATTTGTTCTATAAAACTTGGACTCAGTCAAAGGGCCGCACTTGAGGATCTAGAGGGCCATATGTGGCCTCAGGGCCCTAGGTTCCCCACCCTGCCCTAATCTCACAGTTCCTCAGCTTCCTCATTTCATATGATCTACTTCTCCACCCATGTCTCAGCCCCACACAAAAGTGGTCATGCCTTTAATCTTGCCATCATTCACACATCACCATGTCCATGTTTATAAATCTGAAATTGCCTTATCAGGTCACAGTCTATTGTCATTCCACTTTACCTTGAAATCCCAAACTCTGTTCTTCATCTGTATTATTACCTGCATTTGTTCAACCCCCCCTTTCTTTCCCAGGTTATAACCCCTTAAGTAGCTGTACTTTTCCTCCTTTCCCCATTTTGAGCCCTTGACTGTCTAGACTGTCCTCTTCTCTTGTGTCCCTTGCTCCCTTATTACCAATCTTCTCCTGCCAAGCCTCAGCCTTGGATTACTCCCACCATCCACTTCCTTTGCCCCTAGATACATGCTGCTGAATTAAGCTAGAGAAAATCATGAAACCCTGCTGACTAGGTCCACCACATATTTATGTTACATAACCTCAACTGATTCCTCATTTTTTTACCTCCCTAATTAACTCACTATTCCATTCACCACAGCAGATCTTCCAAACCTTTTCATCTCTCTTCGAATCTACCATAGTTCCCCCTAAGCTCAGAACTTTACCTGTTTTTGGGAAAAATTGAGACCATTCTCCAAGAGCTCCCTCTTATTTCCTCCTCCTCATCTGACATCACCTAGATGCCTTCTACATCTCTCTTCTTTTTGCTCATCCCACATGAAAAGTTGGTCCTCCTCCTTGTCAGGGCACACTCTTCTACATGAACAAGTGAGCCTATTCCAGCCCATCTTCTCCAGCAGATTGTCCTCTCTGTCATCCCTACTTTCACTCTTCTTCAAACTCTCCCTGTTTATTGGCTGCATCTCTACTGCCTACAGATATGCCCATGCCACCTCTATCCTCAAAAACCTTCACTTGATCCATCCATCTCCTCTAGCTATCATCTCATATATCTTCTCCCTTTTGTGGCTAAACTCCTTGAGCAGGCCATCTACAACAGCTACCTCTTTTTCCTTTCTTCCCACACTCTTTTTAACTCTATAGTCTGGCTTATAACCTCATCATTCAACTGAAATAGCTCTTTCCAAAGTTAGCAGTGATCTTTTAATTGCCAAATCTAACTACCTTTTCTCATCCTTCTTGAACTCTCTGTAGTTTTTGACACTATGTCTTACCCTCTTGTCCTTGATTCTTCTCTCCACATTCTATCACTCCATACAAATATGGCATAATTAGGATCTTTTGGTTTTAAAGAAGTGGAAATGTTTAGGGACATCAAGGAATATTTAATAACCCTCAAAGTAATATTTGTTATCCAATCTTACTTAATAATATGGTATAATTGCATAACAACAGAATACTTCACTTCATGATGGTGACCATGGTTATTCTCTTCTGGACTCCCTTCTAAAATCTCCAGAAGTTGTTTGACTCAGGCAGAGTACAGAGATACTCACTTACATTAAGCTTGCTCTCATTGACAGAGCCCTAGTTTAGTAAATTATCATAGAATCATATATTTAGAGCTGGAAGGTACCTCAAAAGTTATCGAATCCAGTCCTTTCATTTTACATATGAGGCCCACAGAATTGAAGTAACTTGCTCAGTGTCAAATAGAGTATTTAAAAATACCCAAATTTTCTTGACTCCAAATCCAGAGTTCTACCCATTATACTACATTGACTGTTTACCATATGTATCAAGAAACAGAGATAAGAAGGAAGCAACTACTATGTGCCAGGCATTGTGCTAAATGCTTTACGGTTATATAATTTAATTCTTACAACCATGTTGAGAGGTAGGCGCTATTATTATCCCCATTTTACAGTTGAGGAAACTGAATCAGTTTCTCACTCGGACAGCTGACTTGGTTGATAGAGTGCTGGGCTTGGAGTCAGGAAGACTTGAGTTCAAATCTGCCTCAGACACTTACTAGCTATGTGACCCTGGCAAGTCACTTAACCTCTGTTTGCCTTAATCTGCTGGAGAAGGAGATGGCAGACCACTTCACTATCTTTGCCAAGAAAATCCCATGAACAGTGTGATCCATAGGGTGATGAAGTGTCAGGCACGGCTGGACAACAGAATACATGCCTAACAGTGGAACCACTTGGTTAAATTATGTAGCCATTTTATGCCCTTTGTATAATTCCAGATTGCTTCCCATAATGGTTGGACCTATTCATAGCTTCACCAAAAGTGAGTTGGTGTGCCCCTTTTACTACAACTACGCCTCTGCTGACTATAATATCATTATTGTATATGTGAAATATTTTATTCCCACAATCTTATTGACTGAATACATTTTTTGCATTTTAGTTTTTAAATATTTAGCAGAAAAATATCTTCAGAAACTCAAACAGCAAATAGCTGAGGACCCAGAATTAATGCATACAAGTAGTAACAAAATTGGTAAGTGCTAAACATGAAATATTAGGTTTGATAATCTTATTTTCCATTCTGTTATTTCATCACTTAATTGACCATTTACCTTTTTTAAAAATATGTTCAATTTCCCTTTGTAAAATATAAATAGGAAAGTACAAACTTAGTTATGTTTAAATGTAAGATAAAGGCATAGATTCCCTGATTTAGATATATATTGAGCAATTAGCTAGATTTTATTTCTTCTAATTTCTTAAACATTTGAAATCTGAACAGTAGAGGTAAGTGAGATACCTTAGCTTTTTACAAGAACCTTCATATAATCCTAATTGTCTTTTTGCGGGGAAGAACTTTACTGATAACCCATTTTAAAGTTATTTTATCTAAGACAGTAGAAATTAGGCCACTTGAATTTTTTTTCAGTCTGTCCCCCTCAATTCCCTATTGTGTACATATTATGTAAGCAATTTTGTATCCACTTTTTAGTTTCTGTGGGAATAGTTTATATTAAAACCAAGTTTTAGATCTATAGTGTGTTCAACTGAAATTTAAAAACAAAAACTATCAATAACATTTTATAAACTCCAAATATACTTTAATGTAATCAACTGCCCTTCAAAAATAGCATCTAAAATTTTGGGATAGAATAGATAATTCAGGGTATTAAAATTAGCATTTTTGAAAATACATTTATTAATAATAATAGTCTTAGCTTTTTTTAGTCAAATGATTAGTATGCTGCCTAGCTGACCCAGAATAATCTGTGCATTTTCCCCTCAATTTATATAGGTGTCTTTAACACAGCTGGTGGAAGTCACTCTGGCCAGAATTCTAGCACACTTAATGGTGGAGATGTCATCAATCTTAGACCTAACAAACAGAGAACCAAGAAAAACAGAAGCCCTTTTAGCAGCTGCAGTATACCCTAAAGCCATTTTGGGGAGCAGGGTGGGAAAGGGAAGGAAGAACTGACAAAAATTGAAATAAGCTGTACAGTGAAGGAGTACACTCAACTGTAATGGTATGTTAATGTGTTTCCTAATGGACTTTGCACCTACTCTGATAGATGGTGAATTTAAATATTGCTGTGGCAATGTTCTTTAGTGTGTACAGGGAGACCTCTGGTGGCAAAATTGGAATCATTGCTACCCTGTGCACTCATTTTAATTTTTATACATATGTATACACACACACACACACACACACACACACAATTAGACGATGCTTTTCCTGTTTTGAAGGAACATTTTAAAAATATGAAAAACAGGTTTTGCTGAATTTCAAAGGATATTAAAAACACAAACAATGTATAGTAAACATTGGTACAGATCTTCATATTAAGTGTGGACCAAATGAAGCAGCATTATTTTAATGGAATCGATCAGTCAGCCTTTAGAGAAAAGTAGTATTTGGATCTTGAACAACTATGATTAAAATAATATTGAGGGGCAAATTTTAAATCTTGCCCAGATAGCATTAGTGTGTTGGCAACTTTACTTGTGCAATATCTGTATAATACGTGAATGTTGTCAGAGGTATGCATGTAGATATCTGGCACTAAAGTTAAGCTGAATGTAAGTACAGTATTTCACTTTAAGGACACTAAATTTCTGACCAGCATGCATCAAACACTACCACTACTGCTACACACACACACTTTAAACTGTTCATTTCAAGTGAGAAATTCCAAGCCTATACTCTGCAAAATGAAATCCCTTCTTCCTGTACTTGGATTTTAAAAATTCATTGTGCCAAAAAAAAAAAAACAAAAAAAATTTTTTCTTGAGGGGAAAGCTTCAAACTATCTTACTTTTTATTGATTAATGATGTCTTTTAAAAAGTTTTCCAGTCAAAAAAGTTGTATAAAAGGAGGAACATATATTTCAGTAATACTGAGCCTATTTCAGGCTAATAGTATTGCTTTTAAAAACATATATAATAACTAAATATTTCACATAGTCATCTGTAATAGTGACATACTTATACCATCACAGGTTGGCAGAGTATCTATTAAGATTCATGCATATCTGTAGTTATCCATAAGATTCTGTGAAGTGATATGCCGTGTCTAGCATATTTAACTGCTCCAAATTGAAAACTTTTAATTTATGAGCATAATTTAAAAATAAGCCTCAGCTTAAAAAATTTTAATTCCACAAAACATGTCTTTTTTTTTTCCAAATTGTTTTTTAATGGCCAGTGTCTCAGGAGCTTCCCTTTATTTATGCAATTTGTAAGGTGTTTTAAGCTTATCCCTTAAGAATTTCTATAATAAAATCTCAAATTTATATAGCATCTTTCTTCTGGAAAGCTCCATTGGCAGAAAATGCAAAAATAATTTCCTTTAAGAAATATTTTAATATTGTAAACAGTAAGTGCCAGAGTATAAAAATTGTGAGTAGAGACTATTTACTTAGATAATGTGTGTATCCTATTAATATTTGTCATTATAAGTTAATGATAAATGTTAGCAGGCTTGTTTACTCTCTCTGAGTACCTTTTTAACATAGTCGAATGTTATAGGAGTCTACAGTGGTACTAGGAAAGAAGGTTTCTTGAAAAATAAATGTGTCCTGAAGTCATTTTACATTTACTTGTACTTAATATTTTTTTTTTTAAAGAGAACTTACTGTCCCAGGTTTTCATATGGTATGTTTGATATTTTAAGGCAACATGGTATGTTGGATAGATGACTAGCCTTGGAGTCTAGAAGGTCTCACTTCAAGTCCTGTGTCTGCCACAAGTTGACTCTGTGACCCTCAGCAAATTATTTAACCTCTCAATGCCCCAAGCAGTTCTCTAAGATCATAGATTACGGAACAATGACAGACCTGCTTTGATAAGAGTGTCTTTGCTAACTGAGTTCCCTAAAGTGAATGTGTCATACTCTGCCTGCAACATTCCAGGGTGGGCTCCCTCCTCTCCTACCCCCCCAATCAGATCAAAATGTAATTGGGATAGTTAACAAATAAAAATACAGTAAAACATAAACAATGTTAATTTGTGGTTTTCTAAATCAGTATGCAGCCAGCAGAGATCCTTTTCTTTTAGAGTTTGACACCTCTTCTCTAAAATCAGTGAAATCCTAGACTGACAGTTTGGAATTTTTCAAGAGTCTCTTATGCCACTTGGTTATTTGCTCTACAGACACTAGAATAATCTGGAGTTACATCTATTAACATAGTAATAAAACACTTAATTCTTGTTATGGCAGTTGTCAATAACATATAGCCCATTGCTGGCATGCATTTAAGAAAACTTCAGTCTCCAACATTAAACATTTCATATTTGTTACAGTGTTTTGTCTTTCCTTATATAATTTTTTAGATCAGTCTTTTATTTTTTTTGTGGGAAATAATCTCAGTTTAAGAAAATCATTCATCATATATACATACACACACATATATAAAAACATACTGAATTTGTTTCAGGTAGCAGCAATTGAGTATATGTTTTTTTTCCTCTGCTATGTATTAAATGCACATGCTGATGAGGGTTCCAATTTATCCATAGTCTTTTTGTAATAAGATTTTATGTATTATTTTTCTTTTTACAAAAGCAGAAGAATATTAATTTGTACTACTGTACTTTTGTCTTATTAAGTCATTACTTCAAAATGTAATCTTGCCTTCAATTTTGTAGTAGGATAAAAACTGCTTAAATCAGATTGTGAAAACATTTCCCAAATTGATTGAACTTTAAAATCTTTAACATATATTTTGTTTTCTTTAACTTTATTTTAAAACTTCAAATTAAAGCACAGATAATAAATAAAACAGCCCTTTTCAGGTTATTGTACATTTGTGCTGCTAAACTAATTTTTAAATTAAAATTAATTAATAATACTTAGCATGCTGACATGCTGAGGAAAAATTGCCATATTTGAGAGTTCCTCAGGTACTCATTTTCCTTGTCAGGAATAGTCTGTCTACTGGTTAAATAGCATATAGAATGGCATGTATAGGACAATATAATTTAAGTGAAGCCTCATTCAAACAGGCTACTTTTTATCTACTCCAAATTTATAGCACACTTTTATTTTGGAAAAACTACACTAACAAAAAGGTGAGTGGTATTCCATATTTATGGGATGAAAAATTTGGTTTTCTTTTAGAAGCTGGGCAATTTTAGTGCTCAGAGAGAAATTTCTCTCAATGTACTCCATTGTGCCTCTGAATTTTAAGAATCATGATCTTTTTAGATCTCAGAATAGTAAATTGGCCTTAGGAGTTAATTCTCCCACTTAAAAGTGTTGTACTACTTTAAGTGAACGTTTCAGTGTATAACAGTAATACCATTGATTGTTGGCCTCACAGTTTCTGAACCTCTGAAATAATTATTGTTTACTTGCTGAAAATGCTGCCATTGATATGACATTAGAATATTCATTTTCTCCAAAAATAAAATGAACTAGCTGGGTTAAAAACATTCAGAATAATTGTGAAACACTGCATTATGGTCTAATGAACATGTAGATCAAATACTATTAATTATTGATTGAACTGAATACAATTTGCACTGGAGAACAAAATGTCAACATTTAGATTTTTATTTTCAAAACACTTAAGTCTATCATCCATTTGAGTACTTTCCATCGACAAAATTTTTAAATGTCATTAAACTCCAGTCACCACGACTGAAATAATTTGGCCATCCCTTTTCATCTTGAGAGATGTGTAGTGGGATGTTGATTAATGGTCATTAAAATTTAGTAGTGTCAGGACTAAAAGGAAAATTGAGCCCCTTTAATAATTTTGTTATTTGGATGTGATCTGGTGCATTTGAATGGGAAAACCATTGTATGTAACTGTTGGATTACGATTATGGCCTCAATTAATTTGAAATGTATCACATGAAATAATTTCATGACAAATCTGAAGAAGTAAAAAAATAAATTAATTTAAAAACTGACTTTTTGTTAGTCCATTATTTCATCAAGGTTGAAATGGAACTTTTCCCCAAAGCATTAAAAAGAGTAACATACTATTGAAAAATGTTTAAAAGAGCCCAAGAATATTCACACTTGCCATACAGTGAAGTGCTTAACCTGTTAATATTTAACACAAAATTAATGTTACGTGTTTGAAATAGTTTTATTTGCAGCAGTTCAGTCACCTCATTTGTCAATATTCATCTTTTTTTTTTTAAGGAGAATGATGCTTTGAAAAGGCTGAAGCTACTATCCTACAATAATGACTTTATAGACAGCCTTATGAAATAATTTTATTGAGTTTAAATTGTATTCTGTACAATTTTGGGCCAGTTTTAGGCTTAGACCTTTTTTTAAAAATATTTCATATCTTTAGAATAGGTAGATAAGTGACAGCTATAGGTATATCTAAAAGGAAAAATATAATCATATAACACTGAGCTCTAGTTCTGAGCCTATTCCTAACACCAAATCTGGTTTACCTCTAACACCCTTTGCCAATCCCTTGAGAAAAGTGTGGGTTTTTAAACTTAAATTGATTATATTTCAGAAAAGAGAAGTTCTATAAGTTTACAATTAGGTCTAAGTAAATGATAGGATATTTTGTAGATAATTTTAAGTTGGTATTTCGAGAGGACTGGATCTGTGATTGAGAATTCCTCCATCAATGCAAATTAGCAGGCATTAGTCTTCACATTAGTCTTAATATAGTTGAATGGGGCACTCAGCTGTTATGTGACTTGTTCAGTAAAACACATCCAATATCGGAGACAGGGTTTGAATCTAGCTCTTCCTAATTCTATATACATGTATAATATATGTATATATATATATAATTTTGAACTTAAATACAAAATAAAAGAAAAAAAAACCATTGCCTTGTACACAGCAGAACATACTCCTTGTACACAGGAGAGGATTCAGTATAAAACAATAAATTTCCATTTTGAGAAAGCCTGTATAGTAAATACTACTGATTATATTCAAAGTTGTCTGACTTTTCTTTGCAGGTTTCCTTTTGTTCTCTGCTATGCATTTCTTACTTTATTTTTTCCCCTCTGCGCCCCCAAAGAAGGCTATAATTAAGCACATATATATATATACCTATATATGCACATATACATAGAAATTTATAATCATATACATATATATGTTTATACTCATGTACACTCATACACAAAACACATATAAGTCTATGCTGTGCTTATCTCCACCCGTCATCTGTTTTTCTGAAGGTGGACAACATCCTCCTTTATAAGTCCAAATCTTTCCATGCTTTTCAAATTCAACCAACTCATAATTTCCTGACCACAGCAATATTCCAACCCAAATCACATTCTGAGAGAGTGTCTCAACAATGCTCTCACCTTATAATATGGTTTAAGGTATGATACTACTGATTTCTATTTCCTTTACATCTTTCTTCCCCAGGTGTGTTTGAGGTTTCTGATCCTTTGTTTTCCAAATAAACTTTGTTGTTACTTTTTTTTAACTCAGTAAGATAATTATTTAGTAATTTAATTGGGATGGCATTACGTAAATAGATTAGTTAGGTAAAATTGTCATTTTTTTATATTGACTTTACCTACACATGAACAGTAAATACTACTTCAGTTGTTTAGATCTGACTTTTTTGTATAAAAGATGTTTTATGTTTGTGTTCATATAGTTCTGTGTCTCTTCTGGCAGGTATACTCTCAGGTATTTTATACTGTCTGGTTATTCTAAATGGTCTAAAACAATGTTGAAAAGTATGGCTGACATATAGTGTAGTTTCCCTATTTTTCTCTTTTGATTAAATGTATTTTAGCTTTAACTTGGGAGATCCTGATTACTACTACCCTTGCTTTTTTTACGTTATAAATTCTTCTCCTGACCTTTCTTTCATGTTTGTGTGTACCTCTCATTTTTATAGCATTTCTCAAAAGAACATATTATTAAATTCAAATTTTTAATCTACTGTCAATCCTATAGGTAAATTCATCCCATCCACATTCTAAACTATAATTATTTGTTTTATATTTCCCTCCTTCCTATTTTCCCTCACTGTCCTTCTCACTCTATTCCTATCCCTCCTCTTTCCTCTACTTTATTTCTACCCATTGCTTTGCCCTCCTATTCCTTTACCTACCCACCCCTCCAAGAATCCCTCTCTTATTCTCTTCCTCCAACCCTATCCCCTTGCCCTCTTGTTTCTTTCTGGATTTAGAAGACTTTTATACCCTTCTAGATATATATGTTCCCTCCTTAACACATACCTGATAAGAGTAGGGTTTCAGTAGTACCCACTCTCCTCCCTACTAGCTGCTTCTGTATCTTTTTCTTTTTTTTTGCAATTTTTATGAGACATTTGATCCTTTTTATCTCTCCCTACAGTGTTTTATTTTTTTTAGACTCATCCTGCCCCATCATACTCAACCCACGCTTTTCCTTGACTACTGAAATAAGAATGAGTCATAAAAAACTTAAAATATTTTCACATATAAAGAGTAAACAATTTGACCTTACTGTCCCTCATAATTGGTCCTTAATGTTTACTTTATGTTTCTCCTGAATGTTGTATGTCACATTTTCCCTTAAGCTTTGCTGTTTTTGTCACAAATACCTGAAAGTCAGTTCATTAAATTTCCTTTTTTTTTTTCTTCAGGATTATATTTAACTTTGCTGGGTAAGTTACCCTTGGTCATAACCCCAACTCCTTTGCTCTACAAAATAGAGTATTCCAAGACCTACAGTTCTTCAATATAGTAGCTACTAGGTCTTGTGTAACTTTTATTGTAGCTTCACTGTGTTTAATTTTTTTTTCTTGTTGCAGTATTTTCTCTTTAACCTGAGAGCTCTGAAACTTGGCTATGATATTCCTGTAAGTTTTCCTCCTAGGATCTCTTTCAGGTGGTGATTGGTGAATTTTTTCTATTTCTGCTTTACCATCTTGTTCTATAACTTCAGGGCAATTTTCCTTAATAATTTCTTGTAATATTGTGTCGTGATTATTTTTTTAATCATAATTTTCAGGCAGTCCAACTATTCTTATAATATTTCTCCTCTCTCTGTTCTCCAGATCATCTGTCTTTCTGATGAGATGTTTCACATTCTCTTTTATTATTTCATTCTTTTGATTTTGTTTTATTATTTCATTGTGTCTTAGGAATGTCTTTAGCTTCCCTTTGCCCAATTCTAGTTTTCAAGGAATTATTTTCTTAAGTTTTTGATTCTCTGTTTCAAGTTCATTGACTTTCTTTTCATAATTTTCTTGGTTTTCTTGGATTGCTTTATTTTTTTTTCTAATTTTTCCTTGATCTCTCTTATTTGATTTTTAAAGTCCTTTTTAAGTTCTTCCAGGCAATCTTTTTGTGCTTGGGACCATTTGACATTTCTCATTGAAAAAGGAGTAGCTTTTTTAGCTCCGTTATCTTCCTCTGAATATGAACCCAGATCTTCTTTATCCCCATAGTAACTATCTATAGTTGGATTTTTTCTCCTTTGCTTGCTCATTTTTCTTTTCTTATTATTTTTAGCAGCTATCAGCGTGATCAAGTTACAGTCTCAAAGTAGGAAGAGTAATGCTCAGTTTCTTCTTACTGGTATTTTCTGAGATCTGTCCTGGGGTTCAGCCTTAGGCTCTCTTCTCCACTCTTAAGCCATCACTAGAGCCCTGGGTCACAACGATCTTACTCCCCAGTGGTCCCTCCAGTGTCTGGTGTCACAATGATCTTACTCCCTATGGTCCCTCCAGTGGCTGCAAATTACAGCTGTCCTCTGTGCCCTGGAACTAAAACCAGGAGCTCTGTTCTCCTGCAAGTACCCACAGTCAATAGGGTCCCTGCCCTTCTGCTACTGCACTCACCAGGTGTATGCTAGCACAGCTAAGCTTGGTGTCCCTCGACAATGGAAGGTCCTTCGGTCTTCTCTTTGTCAGCAGTCAGATCCCCACACTGTCTGTGAGATAAGACTTTCTAAGGCTGAGGCTGCCCCCCAACCCCAGCTGCCCCCAGGGCTTCTTGTTGTTCATTGTGCCGAATTGGCCTGAAGGTGTTTGTACTTTGCTCAGGCAGAACCTCTGCCCCTGGAGGTCAGGTCTTTCCTGGGGTCTTCTCAGGTTGTCTTAAGCGAACCATTGCTTTACTCCATGTTTATTTCTGCTGCTCTGGGGGATGTTCTGTCTTTTTTGTGAAGGAAATTTGGAGAGCCGAAAGTTTTTTGACCTGCTCCGCCATCTTCCCAGATTTTGTAAATAATTTGAATTTGAATTTGATATTTTGGGAGGAATGGATCTATGATCGAGAACTCCTCCACCAATGCAAATTAGCAGGCATTCTTCAAATTAGTCTTAATATAGTTGACTGGGGCACTGGTGTATTATGTTCAGTAAAACACAACCAATATCAGAGACAGGGTTTGAATAACTCTAAGGACAGTTCTCTATAAATATTAGTTACCTTATTTCCCTTTTTCTGTCTGGCCTTAGTCCCTTGGATAGTGTTCCTCTTCCCTTCCTCAAAGGGGCTAAGAGGTTCTGTTTCTGGCTAATACTGCTGTTAGATCATTTATTTTTTCACTTGAGTTACTGGAATAGATCTAGGAAAGAAGCTATACTAAGCCAAAGTTCATCTTTAACATAAACTTTTCCTTTCAAACTATTTCAATATTTGTCTTAAGTTGTATGTGGGAAAAATTACTTTATAATAAAGACCTAATTTAATTGCTATTTTAATTTCATTTGTATTCTAGGAGTTAATTATATAAGAAAGTAAATCTTACCTAGCATTATGACTCTTAGTATACATGTTGACTTGTAAACATTTTTATTGACCTCTAATGAAGATCATTATAAATTTTTTTTGCCCCCACCTATGAATTTGTTGGTGTAAAGAATCCCCATTGAGAAAACTCCCTTTTTCAGTATGGTCCTACAACTTATAGTCTTAGAGACCTGTCAGGAGGACTGAAAGGCTAACTTTTTTTTTTTTTTTTGGTTGGTGAGGCAACTGGAGTTAAGTGACTTGCCCAGAGTCACTCAGCTAGTAAGTGTTACGTGTCTGAGGTCACATTTGAACTCAGGTCCTCCTGACTCCATGGCCCATGCTTTTATCTACTGCGCCACCTAGCTTCCCCAAAAGGCTAACTTCTTTAGCCATTATCACACAACCAGTGTGAATCAGACTTTGGCATGGCTTCCAGATCACTCTTCATCCACAATACCTTGTTGTCTCTTAACCTTCCAGCTGTTAGGCACTTAATGTTTATAGTGTTAAACTGAGCCTACTCTCCTCATTTCTGAGCCCAACTCACTGTCCAGTCTATCATACCAATGTATCCAATAAAGTTGTAAAATCACACTGTATCCCTGGAATATCCAGTCACCAGACAATATAAGTTATGTGACTGAAGTGATTTGGCTAGGATACTAAATAATACTAACTCAAAGGAATTTTAGAGGCAAGTAGGTGGCGCAGTAGGTAGAGCATTGGGTTTGCAGTCAGGAAGAACTGAGTTCACATCTGTGAACATCACCTCAAACACTAGCTGTGTGATCCTGGGCAAATCCCTTAACCTGTTTGTCTCATCTGTAAAGCATTTAGCATAGTGCCTGGCATGTAGTAGGCACTATATAAATACAAGCTATTGTTATCATTAGTATTAATATTATCCTGATTATCCATAGAGAAAAGACTAAGTGATTGAAGAATGTCAGTCACCTAGATTTTTATGTCCCTTTGGATGTTCCATCTGTGAGAACGTGTCTATCAGCATGTACACCTGACGTAGTTGGTACAGATGGATAATGAGTAGGACCTAGAGTTGACAGGAGGAGGAGAGTAGAGCAGTAAATTGCATAGCTCCTTTACTGACCCTGTGATCCCCACAAAAGCAAAGGGCCATCTTTTTGTTACCAATATTATATTAGTATTGCTGTGTGGAAGTAAGACATGGCACTCATCAGTCTCTGCAGAATTAAAAACAAGTATCTGAGATGTGCATGATGAGTGTGAGCAGGCTGCAACATAGGATCAGTGCGGAATTCTAAAAAGAGAGCAGGAAGGATTAAAACACATCAAGGAATTGCATAATAGGAAGAGAAAATGGACTGGGCACATAGTGACAGAGATGGTAGGTGGGCAGCCCAGGTATTCCACTGGTATTCTCAGAATGTCAGGAGAAAGTGAGGTGGGTCTCTAGCACATTCAGAAACACTCATGACAAATTTAAGAGAGGACATGGACAATAGTCACGCAGGAGAGGCAGGCATGGATGAGTTGCAATCTGCATTGCTAGAGAGAATTTCTGAATTGATGCCATCACAGATGTGTTTCATTACCTGAGTCAGGTCAAGCCCCATCATCTTGAGAAATGTGAAGTAGCATGTTCGTTAATAGTAATTTTTAAAAATAGTACTGTCAGCACTGAAAGTGAAGTTGAACACCTTTAATAATTGCTATTAAAACATTTTTGTGAATTTGAATGGAAAAACCATTATATAACTTTTTGGTTTGCAGTTATGACCTCAATAAATACTTAGGAAAAAATGTCAAAACATGAGATCTTTTAAGGTTTTTCCCCCCACGTTAACTGACATAATTTATAGTTTGCACATTTATTGTCAATATTTATTCCATATGGTCATAGATTTGGTAAATGTGTTTGACATCCAAGTAAAATAGAGGTTCCTAAATCCTTGATCACAAAGCTTGATCTGGCCCTTGTGAAACAAGAGTTGCCCCTATGCTTACTCTTCCCCTTCCTCTCAACAAGTCTTATTTATTACCCTTTCAAGCTGGGAGGGGATGCATACTTGAAAACTATTCTTAGGCTTCTCTATGCCCAGAGTACACTGAGCCTCCTGTGATTTTGCTATGTCATCCTCTCTTCTCCCTCACCCCTCAATCTTTAAAAAAATGTAGTATTTTTCCTCTACAAAAGTTAAGGGATCCCCTTAGCTTTTGTAATAAAGCCAAACGTTCAGCATTGTCTTACTGAACTTTCAGCTAAATAGCTTATGCTACTTTCAGTCTTCATGAAAGTTTTTTTTTAAATATATAAACTAAATACTCTTTCAGAATGTCATACTGTTGGTCTATCTTATACCTTAGTATATACTTATACTAAGCGATTTCAAGCTGTAGAGCAAAGGAGGAACTGGAAGAGATAAGGCTAGATAAAGGCTAGGGTAAATAGCTCCAAGGAGAAAAAGGTATTGAGATGGTGCTCAAGAGCCCATAAAGTAAAATATTTTGAAATGTATAAAGGTAGTAGACTTACAGTGTGGTGATGGTGGTTGTGCATTCTCAGAGTACCAAAATGACTTCACTATGTTGGAGTTAGGGTACATGTGTCTGACTCTGGCTGATCAGACCACTATGAGTTCAGAAGGCCCTGCCACAGGTCAGGCACAAATAGTTTGGAGTGAAGATGCCTTAATTTGCATATCACACATTTCCTTAGAGCTGTGCTTTGCTCATAGAGCACCGAGCCTTCTTTGATGCAGATATACCATGCTGGGTGGTCTTGTGCCAGTGTCTCCCATGTCTCACAGTTGATTCTAATTGGAATCGATTTGAAACTCAAAATGGACTGGAAAAGAGAACTGGTCTTAGAGCCTTAATGTGATTTCAACCACTGTGTAGTCTTGGGCAAGTCACTCAAACACTTTCATCTGTCTGAGCTTCAGTGTTTTAATATGTGAAATAAAAATGATATTTGTGCTACTCTACCCCTTGGGATTATTGGATCAAATGAATGGGTAAAGCACTTGATTAGCCTTTTAAGTACCACATAAATGCCCACTCTTACTATTCAATAAACATTTATTGTATATTATGTGCTAGATGCTAAGGACACAAAGATTAAAGGAAAAAAAGTAAGTCTCTTCCCTCAAGGAGCTTACAATCTAGTAAGAGTATAAAAATGTATGCCAAAACGTGTAATAAAGTTAGAATATGATAAGTACATAGGAAAGGTCAAACAAGCATAAGAAATTCTAGGTGAATGGAACCACTTCTAGCTTGGGCTATCAGGGAAGATTTCATGGAGAACATATCACCAGAGCTGGGTTTTAAGAGAAGAACAAAGGAAACAAAGTATAATCAATTCCATTATCTATACCAGTGATTAAGTGTGGATAACAACCACAAACTACACAACCCAAATCATATTTATCTTCAGAATGTTGTATATCCATTAGATTTAACTCCCAACCAAATAAAATTGAGCACACTTGCTGGATTTAGGGATAGGGAGGTTAAAAGCTAAGGGTTTGCTGAACATTGGGAAGATGCCAAACTAGCGTTAGCACTTTGTATTTGGCTACGATTCTGCACTGAAGATAATTCATATAAATTAGAATAAAATCACATTGGTGTTTTTTTCCCCCCTAACACATGATGCTAGTTTAGGAAATTTCATTCTTTGGAAGTTTCTGGAACATATCTTTAGAATGAAAGCTCAGAACCCAACATAGCAGATTAGAGAGAACCATATATGCCCAGGCATAAGTCAACCTTTAAAATAAAGATTCTCAAGAGCAGGGATCATGCATTACTCATTTTTGTCTGCATAATAGTATGTACCATAATATCTTAAGCTTAGAAGATGCTCCACAAATATTTGTAAAATGAATTAGTCACTTTTCTGTGGCCAGGTATGCTGGTAGAAGCTCCTTAAGGGCAAAGACCATATCTTGGATTTCTCTTAAGGCACTCAGTGTTGATTGACTTCGGGTCTCATGGCCAACTTAATAGGTATTAAATAAGTGTTGAATGAATGAATTTGCTTCCATGCTGTGGTACACTAGACAGGACCTAGGACTGGTCTGTGTTCTAGCAAGAGGAGTCAGAAGTATATCAGCCAGCTGTTGCATACAGTCTAACCTATATGACAAATTTTAGATGAAAAAATTTCTGTTGATGTATTTGCCAAGTTGACCTGTACTGCACGATAAATAGTACAAGGGAGGAAACAGTACTGGTGAATACTGCTACCATCTATACACTTTTTGTTTTCACAGAGTTGAGTGTTTTTACCCAAAATATAGTCAAAAGTAATGGTGAACCAGATAATAAGACAAACATTCACTTAAAAAATAGAGCTATCGTTAATATTTTCTAGTTATAAATGTCTCCATGGTGAGAGCAATGACATTGAAATATTTTTATCAGCTGAAACAGAATGAATGGGTCAGCCCAACATTTACGAGGGAATACATGTATCTATCACTTAAAATAGTACTTTCTTATCTTTACATGGAAACTCATTTGCGCCTTTAAGTTGCCCAAGCTATTTAAACTTGTTTTAAGCTAGTTTGCTTCAAAGCTTTTGAACCAGCTCCTTTTGAATGCTCCAGCAACTTGATAGCTTTATCAGAGTTTTCAATATTTCTAAGCAAAGTCTCCAATCTCCTTTTAATTTTCTTCTGGTCTTCAAGAGCACATCCAATTACTATGGATTGAAATTTCTGATCAATTGGTCCAGGTGGTACCTCAGATGAACAAGCCCCATACAGTGACATTAAATGACTCTTGGCATTTTCCAAATCATCGAGAAACTTACTGACCACCTCATCAATAATCATTGTGGCATGCCTAAGTGATTCTTGTTGCTGGGGATTTCTAATTGTTTCTACGGAAACTTCAACAGTGAGGGTTCTTCCCATCAAACGATTTGCTGTTAGACTTAATTCTTCTCTTTCTCCTGAACAGAAAGAAAATATTTTGTATAGTTAGCTGATACCAAAAAACATATTTGTGTCAACAATACTTTGGTTGCATTAATATGCTGTTATGTATGAAGAGCTCTGTTGCTTTACTTTATATACTTTATCTTCACAAAAGAGTACGAAGAAATATGATTAAAATGAAGTATAAGGAATTTACTAATGAAGAGGCAAACAGCATTAAACTTTTGTGGCCATAGCATAAACTACAGGAATGGTGAACTCTTCTTCAGAGATTGAGATAATAACCAACAATGGTGGGAAAGAATGTGTTTTCTTGGAGAATGACTTGAAACTAAAAAGAGAAGGAAAGATTGAGTCCATGCAAGGCTTCTGTATTTCCAGCCTGAGATAGGGACAGTTGATCTCAAAAAGAAAAAATAGAATAGCAGTAGACATAAAATCAGTAGGACACAATAATAATGAAAGTGGAAGAAATATCATTAGGTTTAGCTATGTAACAGTGCATGGAGTACATAAAAGCGTGAACTAGAAATCTTAGTAGTCAGAAGCATGCGTATCACTAAGTCCCATTGAGCCTTTATGAGTTGCAACTCATGAATGTAATATGACAATGGGACAGTATATCTTATTCAAGAGGACCAGAATAGGCAGAAGGGGAGATAAGGGGAGATAGTGTAGTACTCTACATCAAGAAGATTATTCATCTATGTGGAAATCCACATCTGAGATGAGAGAGGCATAGTAAAGAACATTTTGGTATGGATCAAAGGATTGAGAAACAGATACTATAAAGATGGGAGTCTACTACAAGTAGTTTGGCTAACTGAAAGGATTACATGATGAGTTCATGACCTAAATCACAAAACTGGCTGAGACGAGATATATTTGTGATGAGACACTTCAGCTATCTAAGTCATTGAATTTAGAGCCGAGATAAATTAGCCCGTCCCAGCTCTGTTACTTACTGTGATCCTGGGCAAGTCACAACCTCTTTTGGAAGTCTGTTTCCACACGTGTAAAATGAGGGGATTCAACTTGATGACTTAAGGTTTTTTCCCAGCTTTAAATATAGGATTTGTTGTTTCAGTCCAATTCTTCGTGACCCCATTTGGGATTTTCTTGGCAAAGATATTGGAGTGGTTTGCCATTTCCTTCTCCAGCTCATTTTATAGATGAGGAAACTGAGGCAAACAGGGTTAAGTGACTTGCCCAGGGTCACACAGCTAGAGTAAGTGTCTAAGGCTGGATTTGAACTCTGGAATATGAATCATCCTGACTCCAGGCCAGGCACTCTATCCACTGTGCAACCTACATCCCTTTGTCATAGTAATTTCTTGACAGTAATGGGGAAGTTCAAAAGTGCGGATGACTACAACATTGTAAGAAAAAGCAACTTTTAAAGACTTGAGAATTCTGACTAGTGCAGTGATCAAACATGATGCCAGAGGACTAATGATGAAACATTCCAGCTACTGATAATAATGCCAAAAAGAAGAAGAAAAGAGCATCAATGAAGCATTTTTAAAACTACACAAGAGAACAGAAAGATTGAAGGAAATAGACAAACAAGACAGCTTTTAAATCAAGGTATTAAATTTATTATATAGTTTTTAAAAAAGGAAACAAGTTGGACATAGTAGAGATTAATGGTTTCATATGTAATCTTTTTCTGTTCTTTTAGTTGAAATTGATCATATTTGTTAGTATGTCAAGTTCATAATAACAAAAAAATTAAATGAAAAAAACTTGATAAATGGGAGAGGGGAGGAGAAGGCTAACCAAAGGAATCTTAATATTATAGGAGATAAGCAAGGACCATTATGTACAATTTAAGGGTTCAGAATTTGCTGAAATAGTATGTGGGTAAAAGGGAAGCCATACCATCCAGAAAGTCACCCTATTATTTGCAGATACAAGATCAAAGAAAGAAACAAGCAATTTAGCCAAGTCTAGCAGGTAGAATCTAGGGTAGGTGAGTGGCAGGAGTAATGGTGAGGAAATAATCTAGCACATAATTACTCACAAGGAAATAATGGGCTATCTATCTCTATTCCACAGCTGTAGTTCAGTATTCTCTTATTAACTGCTTGTCTGGAGTAATAAGCTAGTTAATTAGTATAAAACATATGAGGCCAAAACCACATATTCAATATGTGTATGATTCAATTAACTTGGTCTGCATACCCAACCCTGATTTTCAAGGTTACAAATGTATATTTACCATTGGCTATAAGAGGGATTGAGTCAGATTACTCAGTTCTCTTTGAAAAACAAGTCAAACCAAAGAGTCACATCATATTTTTTATACTAAGGGCACATTATTACATCAATTGATCTTTTTCTTTCCCACTCCATAATTGATCTAATTTTCTTATTTTTTCTCCTTCCTTTCCTTTTTGATATTTACAAATTATTTATAAATTATTTCTGAGCTTCTAATCTCTAAACTTTATTTTTTATTTTCTTTATTTTATTTTTATTATGAGCTTCATAGATATTAACACAAAATTCTAATATGCAAAAATAAAAGAAGATTGTATATGAAACTAAATTTCTGTTATGTATAGTTTGTTGTTTAAAAGTGCATACAGAATTTAATATGGTAATTAACAAAATTACCGTTTGTGTGCCCCTTCTGAATTTCTAGTTTTTTGTATTTTTTCATCGATGTTCTTTCAGGGCGTCTATGCTTTCCCAAAACAGAAACCTTCTTTTATAACAAATAAGTATAGTCAACAAAAACTCTCCAATTTCATGTTAAAGTTTGTATTTTAAATTAGCAAAGATATATGGGGGGCAGCTAGGTGGCACAGTGGGTAGAGCACCGGCCCTGGAATCAGGAGGACCTGAGTTCAAATTTGGCATCAGACACATAATACTTCCTGTGTGACTCTGGGCAAGTTACTTAACTCCAATTGCCTCACTGAAACAAACAAATAAAAAACAAAACAAAACAAAAACAAAAAGATATATGGGAGAGTCCTAAGAGGAAAGTATACCAATTTAGTGTGAGCAGGGCTTTTGCGCTGGTTTTGGGGGAGGGTCATCAGGCCTTTTTCAGTTGATTCCAATTCAAGGTCTTAAAGTAGGATTTTGATTGAAGACTAACCATCACATAAATGAGGGCCTTAATATAATACAAAGTTAGAGCTCACATTTTCTACTGAAACCTAATACTCTTCCACCAAAGGTCAAGCAATATATTTCTGATGTGGCCCTCTTCCCAGGTTGAGAATTCCTTCACTGGTTTTAGCTGTTATATTGGCTTACATTTCTACAGCAAATCAACTGGTAGGAAAAAAAATTGAGGTTAAAAATACGAAAAGCCATATTTGGCTTAAGTTGCTTAGTTAAATCAGAACTCCATGTGAAATATAAATGTATATTTTTAATATTCAGACACACATAAAAGGAACTATTCACACACTGCAAGTATTTAATAAATATTGATGATGCAGCTTTGGAAAGAGTTCTTACCATCACTGATCTGTCTCATTTCTTGACTGTTTTGTATAGAATGGATCATCTCTAGGAGAATTTCTTTTTCTTGTTCTACAGCAGATGCTGCTTCTCTCAAAGCTTCAACCCTATGTAAATTGGAGAAGAAAAATCTGTTACCATATGAAAAATGCTCCTTTTGCTGTTTTATTCTTCATGTTTGAATCATTAAATCTAATTCAGAATTGAAGATAATGAGTAAAGGTAGTCTTTAACTTCTTCATGTCAGTTATTATTGCCTCTTGTTGAAAAGTGCTCTGTGTAGTACAGCAAGTATGAACAGTAAAAAAAGTTAGTTCCAGGGCAGCTAGGGCACAGTGGATAGAGCTCTGGCCTAAAAGTTAGTTCCCCTCCCCCCTAGTCAGGCACACAAATAACCTACTACCTTCTTTGCAAACTCACAATCCTTTTACCCATTCATTAGGGAACAATTGAAAGTGAGTGTGAAGGAAGACCAGCTCTAGGTTATGGAGTTATAAACGTGAGCAAGAGAAAAATATCCTGTAATTTTTGAGTGTTTTATTTCCTAATCACATTAATGTTTCTAGGATCACCCCTCTATTATAACTGGGTAAAACCCGTACCTTCCTATAGCTGTCCTCACTGAACAGGTATTTCTGGAAGCAGGAATTATGTGAGTAACTTTCATCTCTTGCTCATTATCTATAATAAATACACAAACAAGTTCAATACAATTTTGCACTCATTCCCTTAGCCTGGCTTCTTATGTCTTTTTTTTTAAACTATACTCTTTCCCTCTCTGCAATCACCCACCCACCTACCTGCGACAGGTAACAACGTTATCCACAAACTGGTTATGTATAATCCCAGTATCCCTTATATATTCCCAGATAGCTCCAAAAGGAATTTTAATCCAGTCTTCTTCAAAACCAATAGGCCATAAAAACTGATTTTTAAAAAAAGTCCTCTGTAACCTAGACAGGCAGCAAAACACTATAATTTTAGGTAATAATAATTCATATTATGCAGCAATTTAAGGTTTTCCATATGCATTTCTCACAACAATCTTGTGAGGTAAGTAGTGGAAATAGTATTCCCATTTAGGAAATGAAGTAAATTGATGTTCTGAGGTAAAGAGATCTGCTCAGGGTTATTCAGCTGTGTCTGAGGCGGGATTCAAACTCATTATCATATTATATTCCAATCCCAACAGACTATTCACTACCCATTCCTCCTTGACTCTCATACGATGTAATGATGGCAACAACTGAGGTTTTCTAACTGTACTAGTTACAACCACCAAAGTGAAGTTAGAAGGGCCTTTAGAGATCATTTAGTCCAACATCCTCACTTTTTGGAGGTGAAAACTGTGACCCAGAGAGATTAAGTAATTTGCCGAAGGTTATGCAGTAACTAGCAAATTTAAGTTCTGAATCTCCAAGTTCATGCTTTCTCCCTGAACCAGGCTTCTCCCATAGAATAGTAGACACGCCTTTAACATACATGACATTCTAGAAAGCAATTTGGGATTATGCAAAGTAAGTGGTTAAAATGTCCATATCTTTTCACCCAAAAATTTCACTAGCACATATGCAAAGGAGACAGTTGATCAAAACAAGGGCAAGACAGCCTCCACATACATCAAAATATTTATAGCAGCATTTTTTTGTGATAGCAAATACAAGTAGTTATATAAATACCAAAATATTTATAGCAGTACTTTTTTAGTAGTAGCAAAGAACTAGAAACAAAGTAAATTCTCATTGATGTTGGGAATGACTAAAAAAGTTTTAATATATGAGAAATGGAATATTACTGTGTTGTAAGAAACAATGAATATGATGAATGCAGGGAAATATGAAGACATGAAATGGGTAAAATAAAAGAACCAGGAAAACAATGTGCACATTGATATATGTGTATACAGAAATATAACAAAATTATCAAAATTATAAGTTATAAAGTTAAAGATGAAAACTTGGCCCCAAAGGATAGATATGAAAATATCCCTTTCCCAACTTCTTTGCAGAGGCGAAATACTACATTCAAACTCAGACTTTTTTGATATATTTGGTTTTGCTGAACCCTGCTCCCCCTGCAATACACATACAAACACACCTTTTTTTAATTCTCTGTTTTAAGGGATGACTCTGGGAAGAGGAGGAAGGATGGGAAAGGGGGATAGGTTGGGAAATATACGTGACGTAAAAACAAAAATATTTCAATAAAACTTCTTTTTAAAAATAAAAATTTATGTGACCCTCTGCATTATATGTTATTATTCTTATCACTGATAGATAAAATTAAGGTCCAAAACATGTGAGAAATACTGTGGTTCACCATGAAAAATTCATCCTACAAACAAAAACTGCTGAATCTAATTCCTTAGTATTGACACAGACAACACACATACCTGATGAGTAAATGAGGAAGTGCTGAAAGAAAAGATTAATTTTTCAGCACACTTTTTGAGTTCATGTTCAAACAGAATACAGTAAAGGTAGAACAAAACATTCCTTGTCCTAAAAGTGGTGATGTAATTTATCAGTATAAACCTGTGGAGCTACTGAATAGATGAAAGAAAGTATTCAAGAATGAACATATGGTATATGTGATGCATCCCTTTTCATCATGAAAACTAAAAGCAAATATAGAGAAAGGGATTCTTTTTAAATAGAAAGGAATGATTAAAGATATCTCTCCCACAAGAAATAAAAGATCATAGATTTAATCAGATAAGACCTTAATTTTACTGATGGGGAAACTGAGAGACAGAGATTAAGTGATTTGCCCAGGGTCATGCACAGCCAAGGTCTGTGGCAGGATTTGAACACAGGCATTTTATACTTTCTAAACTTTTTATTTAAAATTTTAACATGATTATAAAAATAAAACATAAAGTATACATTATTTCACTCACCTTAAAGATTCCAAAAGGTAGCTCTCATTTTATTTTATGCCATAGTCATCTTATTTATGTTACCTTTTGATATGTTTATTGAATCTAGATTACTTACAAATTTCTAATCTTAGGATTTTCGTGTCAGTCAAATTTAGGAAAGAACAAATATTTTAAATAAGGAAAAGCTGTTGTATATGAGGTATAAAACTTTTAATCTGTAATGGCAGTCTGTCCTTTATCTTAATCTCTCGGATGTTATGGAACTAACTATGGTAGCAGGTGGCTTCTTTTGATTCCTTCCCTGCCCCTCAACATTTTTTTTTTTTTGGCTATGAGAATTTTGCAGACACTGGGAGCAAAGTAATTAATTCCATTTTCTTTTAAATTTTCTATTGATATTATTTTTATATTATCTCAATCCCTAAATACATATTTCCCCCTCCCCTACCAACACCAAACGAGCCATCACCTTAAAAGAAAGATAACAGAGAAAAAGCAGTTCAGTGAAAATTACCAACACATTAACCAAATATACCAGTATATGTAATGTCCCATTACTCTATTCCCTGCCAAACAAGAGAGGAAATGTGTTTTCTTTTCTTTAGCGCTAAGCTTGATTATTATAATTACATAGTGTTCACTTTCTTTTTGTTTTTCTTTGTTGTTCTTTCCATTCATTGTGCATATCATTTTACTGGTTCTGCTTACTTCTCTTTGTAATCAAGCAATTGATAAACATTTATTAAGTGCCTACATGTTCCAAGCACTGTGCTAAATGCTGGGGATACAAAGATGCAAAAGATAGTCCCTGCTCCCAAGGAGCTTACAATCCAATGGGGGAGACGACATATAGACAAATATATACAAAGCAAGTTATCTACAGGATAAATAACAAATTTGGGAAGGCTTCCATTAAAAGATGGGATTTGAGTTGAGACCCAAGGGAAGCCAAGGAAGTCAGTAGACCAAGCTGAGGAGAGAGAGCATTCCAGGCATGGAAGACAGCCCGAGAAAATGCCTGGAACTGAGAGATGTAGTGTTTTGTTGCTTCTGGAATAGTCAAGAGACCACTGTCACTGGATCAAAGAGTTATAGGTGCACAGGTATATAGGGTATAAGTGTAAAGAGTTTATGTAAGTTTTCCCATGCTTCAGTGAATTCAAAGTGCAAAGTGAGGATCAAATGAGACAGCATATGAAAAGCTCTACAAATCCTCAAGTGTATGTAAATGCTAACTATTACTATTGTTGTGATTGTTGGCAACCATAATATTTCCCATTTTTATGGAACTTTTTCTACATTCACTCTTTAAAATTTGAATAAATTTGATGTATTTAGGTTCTCAGCCCCATCAAGTACCAATTTCCTAAATTCTTAATGTTTTTAGTGAGAGTACTAAGTTTTGATATTTGAATAATATGCCTTAATTTAAAATATTCAAATCATTGTATTTGTACATTCCCTTAATTCTCAAGTATTTCCTAGTGAGTACTATACCATTTCCAATTGTTTGATACTTACAATGAGTGAATGTCCAAACTCTGAAGTCTTGTGAATTTAAGCCTGGTCAAAAACATTTTGTCCTACTAGTTTGTTTAAGCCATATATAAATAAATAAAATGCATGTTTATATCTACAGGTTATATGCACTTATTAGCAGATTTGAATGTGGATTCTATTTTATCCAATTCTTTTTTATATTTTCATGCTTTTTTTTCTAAGGAAAAACTACTTATAAATTGGGCTTCTACTAACATCTAACTCCTTTATGTAGTCTTGTTAACTTTTAACTCCTTTATGTAGTCTTAAGATTGCTTGTAAGTGGTAAGAATTATGTCAGAATATTTTTATTGGATTATTTTCATATCTGATCCTGTAGACAACTGCATATCTAGAATGCAGAAGGGCATGTACATTTATTTAGTAAACACCAGACCTTGCTTTAGTCAAAAGAAAAGATTGATTACCCAGAAAATTTACTCTAATGCATGTCTGCATGAAATCACAACAGACATAAATTATGATAACAAGAACTGAATCTTTTATTCACCTCTAGTCTTTTAATTAGAAATGCTTAAAAGTCTCCTATTTTGTTAAATATCCTTTTTTCCCCTGTAAGATTATATTTAATTTTGCTGGGTAGGTGATTCTTGGCTGTAATCCTAACTCCTTTGCTTTCTGGTATATCATATTCCAAGCCCTCTGGTTCTTTAATGTGGAAGCTGA